GGGGGCCTTTGCATGGGCTCACGGCCCACCCAAACCCGGGCCATCAGAGCAGGCCCCTGGAGCCGCTCTCCGGCCAGACCCCAGGTCAACTCAGCCCAGGCCAAACCACGTGGCAGCCCACGTGAGCCGGGGGCGGGGCCGGGGCGCAAACACCCCCTCCCACAAGCTCCCGCGGGCAGGGAGGCGGGACTGGCCACGGCGGGCGCCCAAGCCCTTCCTGCTCCTAAGAGACAGTCGGGCGCCAGGCTCGGACAGGAGGCGGCGGAAGGGGGCGCAGCCCCCACTCCACCCCGTCCCTGTCCCCGCAGCGGCCCTAAGGAGTTAATCCCGGGCAGGCGCACCGTGCCTGGCCCCGGGCCGGACCCCCCCAAGTCCGCCATCCCTGAAGAGGCGCCCGCCCGACTGCGTTGCCAAGACGACGCACTCGCGTTTCCTGGAGACGCCAAGGTCAGCCCCGCCCGCTGGGGCGGAGGAGGGGAGCCGGTCGGGGCGGCCCAAGCCCCTCACTCGTGAAGTGGGCTGTCCCCGGACGCGCGCAAGGCTTCTGCTTGCGGCAGGGGGCCCTCCACCCACGGCGCCCCCGCAGTCTCCCGACGCGCTGCCAGTGTAACCGGGGCGCGCACCGGGGAGCGCGTTCACGGGGCCCTGGAGCCCCCAAAATGTCCAGTCTGCGCTTGGGGCGCCCAGAGGCTGCTACTGTGGAGGGGAGGCCGGGGTGGGCAGAGCCTCGGGCCAGGGAGGGGTTGCGGCTCCACTGAGACACAGCGCCAGACCCCCCCCCCACACCCCCCCACGGTGCCGGGGCAGGCGGGCAGCAGGCGGTGACGGGGGAGGGGTCGGTGTGCCCCCAGCACCCCCCAGAGGACACAGCCTGCTCTCCACACAGACCTGCGACCCCCGCCCCCCCCCCCACTCACGTAGTCCTGGAAGGCCTTGGTGTCGCCGCCATGCTCGCACGCCTCTCTGCGGTCCGGCGCCGCACAGTACAGGTCCCAGAAGACGCTGCGGGCGGCAGGGGACCCTGGTGGGCCACGCAGCCCCCAGCCGCCCGCCGGCCACCGCCCACGCCGCCCGCACGCTGACTCCCGCACACATACCACCACCAGGAGTACAGGAACCCCGGGGGCTCCCCCAGCGTGATGTTCTTCTCCCATCGGATCTGCGGGCAGAGGCCGGGCACTGAGGGGCTAGGCCCACGTGCGGGACCCCGCCCAGGGGCAGCGGGGCCGGGAGCCGGCGCGTGGGCGTACCTCGGAGAGGAAGGTCTGCGCCGACTTCTGGGCGCCGATGTGCAGCAGGTATTCGTACACGTACAAGGCCAGCCTGCAGGACGGGGTGGGGCTCCGGCTCTACCTGCGGCCCCCTCCCCAGCGGCTCAGCCAACTCCTACACATCCCTCAGCACCCTGCCCGTGCCCCCTCCCGGTGTTCTAGGCCCCAGACCCAGGTGGAATTCTGCTGAGTTCAACATGGGGGTAGGGGGACACGCCCTGGCCCGGTCCCAGCCCACGGATGTCTCCTGCCCACATAGGGGCCGCAGGCGTCACCACAGACTGTCCTGGGCGGGGCCCACAGCAAGCCCTGCGCAAGTCCGCACAGGCTGTCCCGCAGCCCCTGGCCCATCCAGGCCCACCCGCCCCCTGCAGCCCCAGGGTCACTTGGCCCCGCCTCCCTGGGTCACAGCTCAGGACTCAGGCGGCCAAGGCTCCTCCTCCCGCCCCTGGCCAGGCCCGCGTGGCCTGGAGCAGGGCTCCCTGGGGGTGGGAGGGGGTGCACAGGCCGGGCCTGAGCCAGGGTGAAGGCAGGAGGCCCCCAGCCCAAGTGCCCCAGCTGTCCCACCCCCACCCCCACCCCCACCCCGCGGCCGCCCTGCCCTGGCGCCGGCCCCATCCTAAAATAACCTCGGTTTGACTCAGCTCTGCCCAGCCGCCTTCACCCGCCACCCTCCACACCCCCACGGCCCCAAGCCCTGGGCGACACCCGCCTGGGGGCAGCCCCTCCGTGTGCCCCACCCCCACACCACGTCTCCTCCTCCCTCAGTTCCGGTAACCCCCCAGCCCCGCGTCTCCCCCGAGGCCCGGCCTGGCTTAGGTAGAGTCCCAGGGGAAGGGGCGCACGGGGGCAGGTGCCAGGTGCCCAGGCTACACCCCAGGCGGGGTGGGCACACAGCCCTGGCTCAGACCCAGCCACCTGTGCAGTGTGGGGGGGGCCTCCCCTCTGGCCTCAGCTCCTGCACCACCCCCAAGCCCCAACTTGGAGTCCACCCCAGGGCCTTTGCATGAGCCAGCCAGAGACTGACTGCATAGGCTCCCTGCCCGGCTCCAGCTCCCCAACAGCCCAGCCCACCTGTGGCCCCAACAGTGTCTCCGCCCCCTGCCCAGTGCACGCCCCCACGTGGAAGGTGGCTTTGGGAGGACGGCAGTTTGGTCCACGCCTTCAGCTCGGCTGAGAGCCCCTGGCCCTGGGGTCCGCAGCCCCCTCCACCCTAGCCCTCAGAGCACACACAGAGGGGGCCCCAGGGCCAGGAGGGGACCTGGGGGCCCGGCACGCGTGACCTGCAGGACGCCAGGCACCAGGAGCCCGGCGCGGCGTGGATGGGACGCCCCACGGCTGGCACCGTAATTACGGGCTGCGGTCACAATGCTCTCCACCCTGTGCCCATACGCAGCAGGGGGCCGGGGGTCCCCGAATGCCAGCCCACCCCACCCCGGCCTCGCTCGGTCCTCTCTCCCCGCCTGGCTGCAACCAAGCCGGCAGCCGGATCCCCCCGCCCATCTCAAAACCTTGGCCCTGGGACACAGGGACAGAGCCCCCCACGCTGGGCGCCCCCGCACAGGCCGGCCCAGGAGAGCCAGAGAGGGCCCAGGGCCGCGGCCGAGGCGGACAGAGGGGCTGCGTGGAGGGGGCACCGTGCTGGGGGTGGGCGACTGGTGCCGAGACCCCCCCATCCCACCAGACAGAGAAGGCGACCGGGGTGAAAGCAGACAGGAAGTAGCCGGCACCCCGCCCTTGTGGGAACCCCAAAAGGCAGGTGGTCCCGAGGCCGGGGGTCCCAGTGGGAGAAATGGGGGGCCGAGACCACCTGCTCTCCGTCAGCGGCGGAACCCTGACCCCGAACCAGCGTCCACAGAGGCGTCCTGCGCGAGGCCCCCCGGTGTACAGAGCGGGGACCCTCAGCCTGTCCACCAGAGTGGAGGCCTGTGGCCTCCTGGCCCTGGGCTCGGCACTGGGGGGAGGGGACGCAGCTGAGCCCCTCCCCTGCCCCGACCAAGACCCAGTACCCTCCTGGGATGTCCCACTGGGTGGAAAACCCACCACTCCGGATGTCGGCTCACAGGTGCTGGGGCGGTCCCCTGCCAGACAGCCTGGGGACACGAACGCCCAACCTGCATCCCGTGGGAGCACCGGTTCTAGTCCCGGCTGCTCCACTTCCCATCCAGCTCCCTGGGCAGCCCCCTCCCCGGCAGCGGTGCCAGCGCGCGATCAGCAAGACCCCCCAACAGAGGACCCCAGGCCCCCTCCCCTTCCTCCACCGAGGGCCCCCTACCAGCCTGAGCACGCCTGGCACCCTAGGTCCAGGGCAAGAAAAAGATCCCCCCCCGGGGGGAAACGCGCTCCGCGGCGGCCCGGACCAGAGAGGCAGCAGGGTCCCCGCGCGATCAGTCTCGCCCACCCGGAACTTCCACGGCGCCGGCCCGGTCCCCTCGCATCCCAAGTCCCGCCCCCGGCGAGGTCCGGCGCCCCCTCCCCCGAGTCGCCCTCGGATCCCGCGCGCCCCCTCGAGCCGCCCACGTCTCCCCCACCCCCTGGGACTCCCGCGCCCCCCTTGGAGCCCCCCGAGTCTCGTGCGGCCCCCGCAAATCTCGCGACCCCTCGAGCCGCTCGGCTTCTCCCCCACCACCACCCCCACCCTGGAATCGCGCGCGCGCCCAGCTCCCCCGCTTCCCCGCAACTCTCGCGGAGCCCCCTCCTGGCCCCCTCGGGTCTCGCGCGCCCCCCGCGCGCCGCTCGCGGCCCCCGCGCCCACGTGCCCCGCGCGGTGCTCGCGGCGCGGCCGGCCGGCCCCGCCCCCGGCCCCGCGCCCCCACTCACTTCTCGCGGGCCTGGCTGTCGGAGGGCACGGCCGAGCCTTTGCCCGCCTTGGCGTACATGCTGCCCCGCGCCGCCGCCGCCGCCGCCGCCGCCCGGGCCCGCACCTGTCAGGCGGCGCCGCGGGCCGCGCTCGCCGTCGCCATAGCTACCCCGCGCCCCGGGCCTCACCGCCCCGCGCCCCGGGTGGGCACCGCGGGCGGCGTCCGCGCGGGGGAGCTCCGCACGGCGGCGCCAGCTTCGGCTGCGGCCGCGGGGGTTCTTATTATTAATTTTTTTTTCTCCTCTCTTCCCTCCGCGCGGGCTGTTCCGGGAAGCGCGCGCCCCCTCCGCCGGCCGCGCGCGCGCCCGCCCCGCCGCCGCCTCCTCCTCCTCCTCCTCGCCACCCGCGGGCGCCGCTCTTAAAGCGGCGATGGCGCGCGCGCGGTGGGCCCCGCGGCTGGGCGCGCACGCGCAGAGCCCATCCAGGGAGCGGGAGCGCGGCTGAACCCCGCTCTCCCACCCACCCCACCCCAGATGGTTGCTGTGCGCCCGGGAGCAGCTGTGGCCCCCGCGGGGTGCTCGGTGGGCGCGCACCGCCTGGCTGGCACCGAGCCACACCTGGCCCAGCCCCGCGCGCCCACCCGGATGAGCTCCTGGGGTGCCCAGCCCCAGCCGGGAGCCCCCCGCCGCTTCGCCCCCACGCAACACCCGGCGCCCGCAATAGGCGGCGCTCAGCTCTGGGGGTGTCGCCTGCCGTGAGCGGGGGCGCACTCTCCGGGGTGCCCCGCGCTGGGTGCCCCAACCAGGAAGCTCACAGAGGCGGGGACCCGCGCACAGCCCCGCCTGGCCCCCCCCAGCCCGCACTCGGGAGGAGCGCAGGCCCGTGCGGCGGGCCCCGTGGGACGTGGGCTGTTTCGGGCTGCGTTTGCCACGCCCGGCGGGTGCGCGCGTGTCCACAAGCGGTTCCTTGCGGGAGTGCACGTGTGCGCCGCGGCGCTCGCAGGCTTGGCCCGCACCCAGGGGATGGGCCCCGTCCTAGGCGACCGTCTCGGCGCTGGTGCGGGGCCCTGCGCGTGGGCGCATCGCCAGCTCCCCGGGCCCTGAGCCGCCCGTCTGGAGCTCTCCCGCGGCCGACCGGCCCCACCCCCGACACCTAATCGCGGCCCGCCCCCCCAACTCCCCGCCACGGCAGGGCGTCAGGCGGGCGGGCAGTCGGGAGCCGCCGGGGACTCAGACGGGCGGGCAGGGAGGAAGCGGCCGGGCCGGCCCCAGCTCCGCCCCCTCCCCGAGGGGCCCGGGCGGGGGAGGGGGCCGCCAGCCCTTCCCGCTTCCTGTCCAGCCGGCCGCCCCTCCCCCAGCTTCCTCTCGCGTGTCCAGGGGCCAGCGGCTGCTTCGCGGGGCGGAGGCGCCAAGGGCACCCTCGTGGTTCCCACCTCTGCTCCCCAGCGCCCACGCCCGCCACGGCACAGGGAGGGTGTGGCCTTGCCTGGCCACGCAAAGCGTGGGTGGCCGTGGGGTCCCCGGGTGTGCCGAATGCGCCCCCCACCCCCTTTAGGCGCCGCGCCTTCCTAGATGTGTGCGGCCGCCTGCCCAGTCCGAGGCGCGGAGCCTGCCTTCAACCCCAGCGCTGTATTGAGCTCCTGCTGTATGCGGGGCTCTGGCGACCCAGCTGGGACGCGTTGCCACTCCGGGCGCAGCAGCGAATCCGATGGAGGAGGCGCACAGCCGCAGGCAGTGCTACGTGCTGGGCCTTGGGGGACCCGCGACAGCGACCTCTCGGGAGCTCCCGGAGGAGGAGGAGGGAGGAGGGAGGGAGGTGGGGGCGCCCGCGGGCCGCCAGCGATGCGGGCGGGTGCGGGGAGTGCGGTTCTCATGGCAACGGGGAAGGCGCTCCAAACACAGCCCCTGCCGCGCGCGCTCGGCTTCCGAGGACAGTTCGTGGGCAAGGAAAGGGGGGGAGAAGGTGTTTTCTGCACAGCGGAGGGCTCGCAGTGCAGCCCAGCAAGTGCAAAGGCCCTGGGGTGGGCCCCCCGCTGAGGCTGCGCTGTGGCCGCCGCAAGAAGGAGTGGCACGGGAGGGAGCCCCGGGAAGGGCTGGCGCCTAAGGAACCCCATGGGAGCCGGGTTAGGGCTCTGGGAGGCCTTAGCCCGTGCGAAGGCAGGCATTTGGCCTGGGCAGGGGTGACAGCAGGTGGGACCCCCGCACCCCGCATCAGAGCGCCCGGGCTCGCGTGGCAGCCAGCGCGGGGGCTTAGGGGCCGCGTGGGACCCTCGCCCCTCTCTGCCTTGGCGAGGTTGCCCCGGCCGGTGGCCCAGGGGGACAGGAGGGGGCGTGGCAGGCCGAGCCACTGACTTAGGGGCCAGGGGAGCTGGGGGAGGGGCAGGCAGTGCCCAGGCTGCCGGCTGCGCCCGATCTCTCTCCCCACCGGGCGGGGGTGGAGCCTAGGGATCCCGCCCCCAGCTGCCCCGCAGCCCCTGCGGCCCACGGCCGCTCCCGCAGGGGCCCTTTGCCGCCCGGAGCGCTGTTCCCCGGGTTCCTGGCCTGATTTTTTTTTTTTTCTGGCTCCTTTCAGCCCACGATTCCTCCTCTGCCCCTCCCCCGCTTCCTCTGCTCCGCATAGCTGTTCCCAGGCGGGTCCGCGCCTGGCTTGTCCCCGCGGCATCCGGGGAGCAGCCGGCAGCGCGCGCCCCCCGCCCCGCATCCGCCCTCTCGGGGCGCGCGGGAGACCTGGGGACGCTCTGATGGCTTTTCCCCTGCGTGGGAGGTGGCAGCGCCCCCCCGCGCCGATCACGCCGGCGGGGGCCTGGGCGGGGCCGGGAGCCGGGCTGCCCCCCCAGCGGTGCGTGGGCGGCGCCGTGCGGCAGCCGGGCCCGGGATGCCCCCCACCCCCTGCGCACACCAGGAGCCCCGGGAGAGGCGGTCTGCGCCCGGCTTTGACCCCTGCCTGGCTCCGCCCGGTGACCTTGTCCCAGCCCGGAGGGCCGCGGGGTCTCAGGGCGCTGGACACGCGGGTTCCCACCCCAGGGCCATCTCCAATAAGCTTGGCCTAGGCTCAGCTTCCAGAACCTTCCACGGCCCCTGCTGCTGCCCACGACTTGGGTCCCTTTCGCTGCTTGCGGCGTGGGACCGGACACTGGAGCCCCCGCTGGCCCCGCCGAGGACACCCGCAGGCCTCGCTGCGGCGTCCCTGTTCCGGCTCCAGCGTCCTGTCCTGCTCATCCGCGCGCCCTGGGAGGCAGCAACTGGCCCACTCTGCTGTCCGCCAGGGTCCTTGCGTGTTGGTGGCCCTGGAGGACCCGGCTCCGCGACCTCGCCTCTGGGACCCAGCACCCGACCGAGGCGTGGGACAGGGCGCCCCCCTGTGGCCACGGGAGGAATTGCGCTCCCGTGCCCAGAGCGCTCTCCGCGCCTCGAGGCCCTCATGGCCTAACGGGGGCTTCCTGGGGTCGCCTCCCAGAGACCCCTGACCCCGGCCTTGAATCCTCCACTCGGAGCCAGTTTTTTGCACCACGCACTTTGGCGACGGGACTTTCTCTGAGTCTCGCCGCGCATCCTTGCTCTGCGAGCTGCAAACAGGCCCAGAGCAGCAAAGCCACTTAAGTAGCCTGAGGACCAGGCCGTGCCCCTCTGTGGCCAGCGGGGGGTGGGCGGGGACGGGGTTCCGCCTCGGCCAAGGCTGCCAGCGCCTGCAGTCCCGAGAATGGCCACAGGAGGGCAGCAGAGACTCAAAGCAGCAGCTCCTGCGGGTCCTCTGAGTCCAAGTTCCTTGAGTGGAATCTGGTTGGTCTCTCTCTTAAAATTATTTTAATATTTTTAATGTACTTGAAAGGCAGAAAGACAGAGAATATTCTATGCGCTGCTTTATTCCCCAAATGCCCGCAACAGCCAGGGCTGGGCCAGGCTGAAGCCAGGACCCAGGAGCTCCATCCGGGTCTCCCAAGCAGGTGCAGGGGTCCAAGGACTTGGCCCAGCTTCTACGGCTTTCCCAGGCCATCAGCAGAGAGCTGGATCGGAAGTGGAGCAGCCGGGACTCGAACCAGCGGCCCTAGTGGGATGCTGGCTCTGCAAACCTCCCAACTCCAGGAGGTGACCGTGGCGGGCAGAGGGAGGCGGGGAGGGAAGGGGCCGGCAGGGGGCGCTCACGGGCAGATTCCCGCGTGGGTCCCCGGGGGCGGTCAGGAGTCAGTGCAGAGTTCGGGGCCGAGGGTGCGAGGGTGTGGGGGGCTGCAGGCTGCGTGGCCGGCGGCTCCGAGGGGAACCCCCAGCGAGCCCTGTGGACCCCGATGTGGGCGCCTGCGGCAGAGCCGCCCTCAGCAGAGCCGGGCACGGGCAGGCGGCCGCCCCGACGCCGCCTCTTGCTTACTGACTCCCCCCCGCCCCCCAGCATTCGTGGCTTCCGGAATGTTCCTGACAGTAACAAGCGCACGTGCCCTCGAATGACCCCGAGCAGTACATAGAGACAGAGACAGCGCTCCCGTGTGCTGGGTCAGCCCCCGCCCACACGTCCACCACAGCCGGGGCGGGGCCGGCTGGGGGGGCTCCACGGGGTCTCCCAGGCGGACGCCGGGGGCCCAGGCGCATCAGCAGGGAGCTGGGTGGGAAGCAGAGCCGGGACTCGAACCCAGGCCCCCGGCGTGGGCTTTGGGCACCCAAGCAGCGCCTTTCACCGCCGCCAGGGGCCGGCGTGTGGCCGGGCAGGGTGAGCCTCCGCCCGCTCCGCTTCCCACCCAGCCCCCTGCTGACGGGGGGTGGGCAGGGATGGCCTGAGGGCTGGGCCCCGGCGTCCGCGTGGGAGACCCCGTGGAGCTCCCGGCTCCCGGCCTCAGCCCCTGTGGCCACCTGCGGAGTGACCCGGTGGCTCGAAGCCCCCATCTCTCCCTCTCTGTCCCTCTCTCTCCCTCTCTCTCTCTCTCCCCTCCCCCTCTGTCACGGCTGCACCAGCCACCCGCCCCTGAATTCGATGCTCGGGCACCGATGCCGTCGCTTCCCCGCGTCCACCCCACGGACGCTCAGCTCCTCCGTGCCGGCCCGCGGCTCTGTGACCACCCGCGCGCGGCTCCGCGTCTGCCCCTGGCTCCCAGGTCCGTGGCTCCCGGCGCCGCTGGCTGTGTTCACACAGAGGTGTGGGCTCTGTGGGGGGCGGGGGTGTGGCTGCTGAGGGTCCCTGGTGTCTATGGGTGGGGGTCCCTGTACCCTGCGCTGGCCCCCTGGCAGGTGCACCCTGGAAACCCTCGGCTTCCCTCTGCCGGCCGGGGTGGGGGTCCAGGAGAGTAAGAGCCTGGGGTGGCAAGATGGGGTGGACTCTGGCACCCCCAGACCCCGGACCTCAGAGCGCAAGACCCTCGGGTCCCCCCCAGCCCACAGAACAGGCCCCGAGCCGGCCCCTCCCCCCAGCTCTGGGGTGGCTGCTTCCGCCCCGCCCCTCTGGCTTCCTCCTGGGAGCTGGCCACGCCCCCTGCCTCCCAAGCCCCACCCCCGCCCCCCAGGCTCTCCAGGCCCAGCTCCCCAGCCCCCCATCCCCCAGGCTCGCCAAGCCCAGCCTCCCCCCTACCTCCCCCGGTCCAGAGCCCCCTCCCCCCACCCCCAAGCCCAGACCCCCCTACCCCCAGCCTCCCCAGGCTCGCCAAGCCCAGAGCCCCAGCCTCCCCAGGCCCAGAGCGCCCTCCCCACGACTCCCCAGGCCCAGCGTCCCCTCCCCCCAGCCTCCCCAGGCCCAGCGTCCCCTCCCCCCCAGCCTCCCCAGGCCCAGCCCCCGCCCAGAGTCGGAGGGGATCTGCAGTGTTCACCCCGCCTCACAGAGCACGGAGGGTTCACCCGCCCCGCGGGGACCCCTCTCCCGGCCCCCAGCCCCTCCTGAGACATCCAGGCCAGAGCAGAAGGGGCTTTGCCCCCAGTGCCCTGCTCCGCCACACACAAGCCTCGGCTCCCCCAGCCCTGGGATAAAGCCCCACTCCCCGGCCCCTGCCCGCGCCGCCCGGCGCTGCCCCTGGCCTCTGCACACCACAGGGCCTTTGCACCTGCTGAGCCTGCTGCCTGGCGCCTGCGGTGAGCTCCTCTCTCCCTGCCGCCCCCAGGGCCCCCCTCGCAGCCTCCCGCAGCCCCCTCCCGCTCAGAGGCAGCACCAAACTCCTATTCATGTGTCGAAACTGCGACGCTAATCCCGCCGCCTCCAGGGAGCCTTCTGGGACCCGGGCCCTCTCTCTGACCCCGTCCTGTCCCTGTGGGGGTCTGTGTCCAGTGTTCCCCATACCAGGGCGCCCCCTTGAGGCCCTGACCAGGAAAGCCCACCACGGGAGACGAGTCAAAGAATGTACAGGTTCGCAGTCAGCGGGGCTGGGATGAGGACACGAGTGGACCGCGTGGGCCGGGGTGCAGCCAGAGGGAAGTGGCCCCGCGCTGCCCCGCCCCCTCCCGTGAGAACTCCGGGCGTGCCGGGGGCGGCCCCAGGCCGGCTGCAGGCCCGCCCCGCGGCGCCCCACGCGGGCACCAGTTCCTCTTCCCCCAGAGTCGGGGGCGCACGGCCAAGGGAGCGCCGGGGCCCGCACCCGACCGGCCGCGCGTGCCCGCGACACAGCCCCCAGACCCGCCCAGGCAGAGGCGTGGAGGTGAGACCCCCCAAAGATGACCAGAACGCGGGCCCTGGGCGGGGGTCGCACATCGGGGCTGGCAGGGCGGGACCCCCGCAGCAAGGCAAAGAGCGAGGAAGGGGGGGCGTATCCAGGGCAACCGCATATTTGCATATGTGCCCGTCTTGGCCAATCAGAGCGCCCGAAGTGTTCCTGGGCGGGCACTGGGCCGAGTGAAGCCGCCGGGGAGTACCCATTGCCCTTGGCGGGGAGACTGAGGGCCAGGACCGGCCAGAACCCGCCGGCCAAGAGCGACAGGCCGGGGGCGGGGGGCGGGGGCTGCGCTTTCCGGTTTCAGCAGCGGCCTGACCTGTAACAATAAAAAAGGCGGGCGGCAGGGCCGGGGTGACCACAGGGCCGAGGCGGGGGCCGCTTCCCGTGTGTGTGTGTGTCTCTCTCTGCAGGTGCCTGATGGGGGGCGCCCTGGCCTGGGTGCTGCTGCTGCTGCAGGCTCCGGGGTGCCCGGGCCTCGCCTGCGAGGTGTTCCCGGAGGCCGTGAACTGGAGCCAGGAGTTCGGGGGCCCCTGCCTGAACCTCAGCGGCCGGGCTCTGAGCCTGCCCCAGGACCAGCCGCTGCGCGCCCCTGGCCTGCAGGTCCTCGATCTGTCCGGGACCGGCCTGCGGGGCCTCCCCGCGCCCTTCCTCGCCCAGCTGGGCGGCCTCCGCACCCTCATCCTGACCGGCAACCGGCTGGACCGCGTGGACGCGGCGCTGGCCGCCCGCTGCGGCCTGGCCCTCCTCGCCGACTGCGCCTGCGCCCTGGCCCCCTGGTACCGGGTCCGGAGGGACAACTGCTCGGGCCAGGAGCCCCTGCGCTGCCTGCTCCCGGCCGCCGGCGCCTGGCACAACCTCTCCAGCTTCCTGGGGTCCAGCTGCGGCCCCGGCCTGGCCCCGGCGGCCATCGGGACAGCGGCGGCCGGAGGGGTCCTGCTGCTGGCGCTGGCCGCGGCCGGCCCGGTGCTGGCCTGGAGGCTCTGGGGCCGCCGCCGCCGCCACCGGGACCCTGGCAAGACCTGGGCCGCCCAGGACGCCCCGAGGCGCAGCTCGGGGGCGCAGCCCCGGTACAGCAGCCGGGGCCTCGGCCCGCAGCCCGCCACGGCCGCCCCGCGGGGGCCCTCGGCGCACGACTACGAAAACGTGATCGTCGGCCAGCCGTGGCCCGGGCCTGGGTGAGCGCCCCCCCCCGCCCCGCCCCCGCCCCCACCGGGCCCCCAAGGCGGCCGGGGTTCGAGTCCCAGCGCTACTGCTGGCCTGGCGGTGCCCGTCCCCACCTGGGAAATGGGGACAATGACAGCCCACGCCCCCCTCCCCCGCCCTGGGCCCCTGCTTCCCGGTGAGGTCTCGGAGGGGGAGGGGCGTGACCGGGAGGGCAGTCCAGGGTGGGGGTGGGGCGGGGGCCGGGGTCCCCACCATTGCCAGGAAAGGCACGCATATATACAAAGCAGATGCAAATAGGGGTCAGAAGCAGAAGTTGACTTCTGCTTCCAGACGCGGGAGTCACCCTGGCCGTGGCCGTGGCCGGTTCCCGCCCCGGGGCGTGCAGATTCAAACCCCGCCTCCCAGAGGCGGCCATGCAGCCTATGCCGTGTATTTCACACTAAAGTGTGAAGGGCTGATAGATGCCGCTCCCCCCAGAGTCAGTTGCTCCCCCTGCCGTTAGCACACAGCTGCCGCGGCCGGAGCTTCCGGCTTCTGGACAGGAAAGCGAGCCGTGGGGCGCGTTTGAGGAAGGAACGGGGCGGCCGGGCCCTGGGTGCTGACCCGGCAGGGTCTTCCCCAAGCCGCTATGCCCGCGCTCAGGGCTCCGGCCGTCCCCACAGGGCGCCCCCCGCGGACGACTGCGACCTCTACATGAACTATCAGGGGCGCGGCCCCGCCCCCCAGCCCGTGTACGGCAACCTGGAGTCCCTCGCGCAGGCCTCGCTGGACGAAGACGAATACGCGGTGGCGGGGTGCTGACCCCTCCCGTCCCCTGCCCGCCGGGCCGCTGAGCTGGGGGCGGGCGCTCCGGGTCTTCCCAGCTGAGGGGTGGGTACGCAGCCTGCCCCCCGAGCCCCACCTCCACCCCATTCTGCCCCTCCATTGTGAGGGAGGGAAGAGGGGAGACCCTCCCCCTCCACCCCGAAGAGGTCCGGGGCCCCGTCATCACCCGCCTGTGTGCAGGTGGTGCTCAATAAATACTTTGAATCGGACAAGGCTGCCAGGCTCCAGGTTCCTCCAGCGGGGGGCCGGGGGGGCTTGCCCAGCTCCCAAGGCTGCATCCTCAGCCCCGTCCCCAGGCCCCGCCCTGCCCATCCCCACAGTTCCTTGTGCCCGCATCGCCAGCCCCGTGCTTGGTAACAGTGTCCCCCTCTTATTGGTTCCTCCTTGCTCTTTTTATATGAAAGACCGGAGGCGTGGTTTTCAGTGGGAGGAGGTGCCCCAGGATGGTGGGACTCCATCAGGCCAGGTGCAGGTGCCCTGGGCTCCGTGGGGGCAGGCTGGTGACAGAGACAGGTGCAGGTGCACCCCTGCCCTCCAACCCTGGAGGAGCTCCGAGAGGCAGGGACACGTGGGAGGGCCAGGGACGCCCCCTGCTGGCCGAGGAGAGCACGGGGAGGGGGGAACAGAGCGCCCGGTCCTCCGAGCCTGGGGCCGCCCCCCACCCAGGTCGGCGCCAGCACACCGCGGGGAGCCTTCGGGCACGTTTATTTTAAATGCATTTTCAATAAATACACGATCTTTCAACCCCGCCCCCAGACAGCACCCCAATAAATTAGTAATAAATAAAGACATAAATAGCGACCAGCGGCGGGCAGGGGCGCGGGCGGAGCCGTCCGAGGGCGCGCCCATCGCCCGCCGCGCCGAGGCCCGCGCTCACACGCAGTGGCAGGCCCGGGCCAGGATGTCCTCGTAGGTGCGCAGCGACACCCCGCTGTCCGTGCGGTGCAGCAGCACCAGGGGCTCGTAGCTGGCGGGCACGCAGCAGGGCGCGGGCACCGCGTCGGGCCACAGGCGGTGCAGCCGCCCCTTGATCTGCGCGTGCGTGTTGGCCGCGCGGTGCAGGTGCGGGCACGCGCCCACGCACACGCCCACGCGCAGCTCGCGCGGGGACAGCACCCAGTCACTCCAGCCCAGCTCGTCCAGCGACGCGCGCACGCGATGCAGGCGGCAGCAGCGCCCGGGCCCCAGCGGGCAGTCGTCCTCGGCGCGCGCGCTGCGGCGCCCCCTGGCGGCGTGGGCCCGCAGGTGCAGCTCCCGCAGGGGCCGCGGGCGCCACCGCGGCAGGGGCGGCGGCCGGGTCCCGCCCCTCGTCCTGGGCGCCGTCTGGGACAGCCGGAGCAGGGCGCGGTGCACGCGCGACGTCTCGGGGATGGCCGGGGTCGCGGCGGCCCGCGGGAGGGAGACCCGCCCTGTGGGAGCAGAGAGAGAGAGAGAGAGAGGAGGCGTCACTCGGCGGCACCGCACCCCAGGGCCTTAGCACAGAGCTGCTGCCCCGCCCCCACCCCCAGGACTCCAGAAAGGGTTCGGAAAACGGAAGTCACCGGTGCACAAATGAAGGAATCAATAAAACCCAAAACTTGGAAATTCAGCACCCGAGAGGGGCCTTCAAAAACTGCATGGAAAAATGCGTCCGGGGGAGACGCTGGGCCCGGACCGCAGCATCCCGGGTTCGCGCCCCGCCGCAGGCTTTTCCGGGAACTTTTTGAACGCCTGCCTAGGCACGGATGGCAACTTTTATTTATTTATTTTTTGCTTTTGCACCAAAAAATAAACTTTTCCGCTCGTTCCATTTTCCACAACGCTCCGGAAGTCCTGGGGCAGGGACACCCCCCCCCCGCGCTGGTATAGTCCATCCTTCTAGGGGGTCTCCCAGGAGCCTGGGGGGCGGGGAGGAGGAGAGAGGGGCGCCCTCCTTAGCCCGAGCCCCACTGAGCCCCTCCTGGGTCCTGGCGCAGCCCGGGCGGCACCCTGGAGGAGGCGCCCCTGCCACCCTTCCCACGTGACTCGCGCAGTTGACAGCCGATTGCGTCAGGTTTCAGAACCAGCTCCGGCGAGTTCTGCCCGTGGCGCGGCAAACTCCGGACCCCAGATCCGCCCTCCCGGGAGGGGGCAGGGGCCACGCCTCCTCGTCCCGCCCCCGCCCCGGCCGCGGAGCCCCCCCCCCAGGAGCGCCCACCCCATCCGAACCCGGGGCGTCCCTGGGGGGCTCCGTTCCCTGCACCTGCAGCCTGGGGGCGGGGCCCGCCGGGGGGCGGGGCCGCCTCCAACCCGACTCACGGGGGCGCGGGGCGGGGGTCTCCCCGGAGCCACTCACGTTCGGCGCTGAGGATGCCGGGGCCGGCCCCGAGCTCGCGGCTCCGGTTGGCGCGCAGCCGGGCCAGCAGGTCCGGCTCCTGTAACTCTCCGAAGCGGGCGGCGTCCGCCGGGGCGCTGGCCTCCGGGGGTCCCGGCGAGCCCGGCGCGGGCCCGGCCAGCAGGAGCAGCAGCAGCAGCAGCAGGAGCTGAGCGCGCGGCGGCGGCGGCCCCTGTCCGGGCATGGCTGGCGCGCTCTCTCCAGGGGACACAGTGGCCACCGGGCCCGCGCCCGGCGCTTTATAGCCCCGGACTTCGCCCGCCCCCGCCCGCTGGTCAGGCCGCCACGAGGGCCCGGGACGCGCTCCAATGGGAGCGGCGGGGGTGGCGGGATTTTGTAGGAGGGGACAATGGCCGAGCCTCCTGGGTCACCAAGTCCAGACCCGAGGTGAAGCCACGGCCGTCTTTCCCGGTCCCCTAGTTGGGATCAAAAGACTGCGCCGGGGAGAAAGGACCGGAACCAGCCAGCCTGGACCAGTCCTTCCGGCTACGGAAAAAAACCAGCCCTGGAACCTTTGGGTGGGAGGCAGAGCAAAGACAGGGCCAGGCTTGGCAGAGCTCCTAAGCTCTCTCCAAAACCCCACACCAAAAGCCCCTCCTCCAGGAAGCCCCCTCTGATGGTGCCTTCTGCCCGGGACCTGCAGCCCTCTCCGGCCAGGGCGGTCCCAGAGCCTGGGCAGGGAAGAGGCTGCCCCAGGGCCCAGGGCGTGGGTGGAGCCCCGGGAGGAGGTAGCAGGGAATTTAGGGCCCCGGGAGCTCCGCGCAAGGAGGGCTGGCGTCGCCCCCACCAGGTGCTGGGACCCCTTGCACTGGGACCCTCGCGATTCCGGGCCCCGGCGCCGGGCAGAGCACGGGGCGGGGGTGCCCAGGCCCCCACCCCACCCCGCACTGCATCACCACCACCCCCAGCCCCGGCCCTGGCCCTGGCCCTGCCGTGTGATTCTCTGGGTAAACAGTAGGTGCTCAGGACATGCACCTGGTCACCCTGACCCAGTCTGCTTGGGGGCAGAGGCTGGGGGCCGGCGCTGTGTGAGCGGGTGGGGGCCAGGCGCGTGGTGCAGCCAGCGGGGCTGAGTAATCCCAGTGGCCTTGGCCGGGCGCGGAGGCCGCGGGAGATCGATCGCGGGGACCAGAGGCGGCTGCACCCGTCCTGCTCCCACGGCCTGCGGGCGAGGGGCTTCTTGTTGGTTTTCAGTATTTATTTACTTGAAAGGCAGAGAGAGAGAGAGAGAGAGAGACAGAGACAGAGAGAGACAGAGACAGAGACAGAGAGGGAGGGAGAGAGGTCTTCCACCCACTGGGTCACTCCCCAGATGCCCACCGTGGCCAGGGCTGAGCCAGGAGCTCCATCCGGGTCATCCGGGCAGGCGGCGGGGGTCCAGGCACTCGGCCGTCACTGCTGCCCCCCAGGGAGCTGGGACAGGGAGCAGGGTCCGGGCCTGTCCCGTGCGGGGCGCAGGTCTCTGAACCCCAGCGCCCTCCTCCACAGAGGGGGTGTCACCCCCACCACGGGCTCAGCCCCCTGCCGCCCCTCGCTCCCCGGGACACCCTCTCTCCCCAGTCTGGTTGGAATCAAAGGGTTAAAGATACAACAGCAAAACCCAGAAAGGCCCGGCTCTGGCAAATCATGTCAGCCCACTGCGCCTCAGTTTCCCCACCAGGAAAACAAACACCGAGATCCCAGCCAGGGGAGAGGGGGTCACAGGGCGTCTCGGCCTTAGCTGGGGAACTCCTATTCATTCTTCAACGCCCCACTCAAAAGCCCCTCCTCCAGGAAGTCTTTTCTATTGTTCCCATTTGCTCCCAACCATGCAGCTCGGGCCCCGAGCTGACCCCACAGGGCCCACACCTGGCTCTGTCTCCCCAAGGCTGGGGGGCTCTGGGAGGGCCCGAGTAGCAGAGGGTCTGCTCCAGCCCCAGGTGGCAGCCAGCAAGGAGCAGACAGCGGAGAACCGGGGAGAAAGGCTGGTGTCACATCCAGCCGCCCGACGGGGGGTGCAGGGGGTGCGAGGCTCCCACGGGCGACGGGAGGGGGCTCCAGCCTCTGCACCCCCGCCAGCTGTGCAGCCCCGCCCCCAGCCCTGCGGCGTCCCCGGCTCCCTCTCGGTCCCCTGGACATCCGTGGGCGATGGCAGGGCTTCGGGTTCCCCAGGAGCTGCGCCTGCTCGCGTCAACGTCACCTCAGTCCCGACGGCCTAGGGGGCCGGGCCCCGTGTCCCCTCGCTGTTCTCCCTCGTGCCCGTTCCACAGACGAGGGGGCTGAGGCTGGGGCTACCCAGGCCTCCTGGAGCCCTGCGGGGCGCCTGGGTCCCCCCGGGAACACGGAACCACCTCTCTGTCACCTCTCACTGCCCAGGTACCAGGGCCACATAAAATTCACCGAAAAGGAACCGTGTGAGAGGCCGTGGCTCAGCACTCGGCGCACCCGCCGTGTCCCGCATGGCTGCTCCCACAGTTCACAAAGATGCAATTAAAAGATAACGGCGGGGCCGGCGCTGTGGCACGGCGGGTAAAGCCGCCGCCTGCAGCGCCAACATCCCATATGGGCGCTGGTTCAAGTCCCGGCTGCTCCACTTCCCATCCAGCTCCCTGCTATGGCCTGGGAGAGCAGTGGAAGATGGCCCGAGTGCTTGGGCCCCTGCACGTGCGTGGGAGACCCGGATGGAGCTCCTGGCTCCTGGCTTCGGATCAGCCCAGCTCCAGCCGTTGCGGCCAATTGGGGAGTGAACCAGTGGATGGAAGACCTCGCTCTCTGCCTCTCCCTCTCCCCTCTCTCTCTCTCTCTGCCTCTCCTCTCTCTGTAACTCTGACTTTCAAATAAATAGATAAATATTTTTTTAAAAAATGCCATGAGTTCATTTCATTCGAGGAATTTGCCCCAGGGGACGTCACCTGTTGGGAGGGGAAGGGGCCCCCATTTCTGCTTCACCAGGCTCCGGAATGCGGCACCCAGGCCCACTTGGCTCGGCTCCCGAAATCCCAAGTCCATGAGCTCATCGCTGGCCTCGTGGCCAGGCCCGGGGAGCGGGGGCGGGGCGGGCAGGGGGCGGGGCCCGGGGCCGGGGCAGGGGGTGTGGGAGCTGCCAACTGCAGGCAGAGACCCCGTCTACCCCGATCAGGGCGCCTCCCGGAGCTTGTGCCGGCTGGAACTGAGAGAGACGTGCATTTGGGTGCAAAAAAAAAAAAAAATGTATCTTTAGGTTGATTTCATGTAGGCGCAAGGCAGAGTTACAGGGAGAGAAGAATCTCCTGTGTGCTGGTCCACGCCCCAGATGCCCACCGCGGCCATGGCCACGGCCAGGCTGAAGCCAGGAGCCAGGAGCTCCATCTGGGGGTCTCTGGCGTGGGTGGGTCTATGGGGGGGGCTCATCTCTGGGCCTGAGAGACCGCAGGGGAAACTGAGGCAGGAGACCCGCCAGGACTCGGCTGTAACAAAGAAATAGAAACTGGGTGGCTTCCGGCCACAGGAAGAGGAAGTTGGAAATCAAAGCGTTTTCAGGGCCACGCCCACGCCGGAGGCCCTGGGTGGGGGGTCCGACCCGCCTCCGGAGTCTCTGGGAACCCCGCTCCGGACTGCGCAGGCGGCAGGGCTTCGGGACCTCGGGGCTCAGAGCAAGAATCGCTGGTGTTACGTCCGGCCGCCCCACGGTGGGTGCAGGGGGTGCGAGGCTCCCACGGGTGGCAGGAGGGGGCTCCAGGCCCCTGCACCCCCTCCCCGAGGGCAGGGGACGCCCCCAGCTGCCCAGCCCCGCCCCCAGCCCCGTGGAGTCCGTGGCTCCCTCTCTGTCCCCTGGTGGGCTCTATTAAGGGGGAAGTGGCGCAGTCTCGCCACCAGCCACAGAGGATGGAGCTGGAAGGCGGGACCGAGGCTTCCCTGGGAGTCCGCAGTCGGCGCAGCTCCCACGAGACGCGGGCCAGCGATGGGCCCACGGGGAAGAGGCAGGAGGCACTCGGAGAGAGGGGGACGGAGACAGACGCGGGTGCCAGCGCCAGTCCCGGCTGCTCCGCTTCCGGTCCGGCTCCCCGCTGATGCGCCCGGGCGGTGGAGGAAGACGGGGGCTCCTGCGCCTGCGTGGGAGACCCGGAGGAAGCCCCTGGCTCCCGTGTTCCGCCTGGACCAGCTCCGGCCATCGCTGCCATCGGGGGAGTGACCCAGCCGATGGAAGACTCACTCACTCTCTCTCTCTCTCTCTCTCTCCCCACATTGTTAGGAGAGAACCAGCTCCAATCAATAAACCGGCTTTCACGCGAGGGAAGCGAACAGCCAAGGAAACCTTGAACCAGCACGAGAAAGGACTGAGATAACCGGTGGAGGTCATTAAGGCCGTTAACTTTTGCCCACACCTACAAAGAACAAAGCAGGTGGAAAGACTTGGAGCTGGGATGGGGCATGGGGCGATACCGACCCCACAGAACCCAGAAAGGAGAGATTCCCAGGACAAAAGTCACACCTGCCAGCCCCAGGAGTGGAAAACCTCAGTGGGTCTATCACAAATAAAGAGCAGGACTCGGTCATCAACAAAGGAGAATACATGGCGCCAGTGGGGATAGAAGAATTGATGAGAGAGGTCTTCCATCTGCTGGTTCACTCCCTAAATGCCCACCAACTACTGGGGCTGTGCCAGGCAGAGCCAGGAGCTCCATCCGGGTCTCCCGCGCAGGTGCAGGGGCCCCAGGACTTGGGCCATCTTCCACTGCTTTCCCAGGCTCACACGCAGGGTGCCAAGTAGAACGCAGAGCCGGGACTCAAGACCAGGGACCCCGACAAGGGACGTGGGCACCTGGGTCAGCACCTTAACTTCTGAGCCAGGTGCTCGTGCCCCCGACAGCGTGCTGAGAATTATGGCCGCAGCCGGCGGGGATGGCTCCCAGGGCTGTAGCTTCGTGCACCGTCAGACACTGGGGCTCAGTGGGCTAAGCTGCCACTCGGGACAGTCACCCAATATCGGAGTGCCTGGTTCGAGTCCCTGCTTGGGCCCCTGCGACAGAACCTCCCGTCCGCTGGTTCACTCCCCAAGTGCCCCCATGGGCCAGGGCTGGGCGGGGCTGAAGCCGGGAGCCAGGAGCTGCATCCGGAACCTTCCCCTCCCCCTTGCCCCCCCCCCGCACTGGAGCCGTCACTGCGGCCCCCCAGGCGCATCAGCAGGGAGCTGGGACTGGAACCCAGGCCCTCAAAGGTGGGGCGCGGGCATCAGCCCCGTGGGTCCAGTGCTGTCTGGAAGGGCTTCGAATGTTCTAGAAGTTTCTCCACAGTGGGCTTCCCCGCCCGTGGCTCACCCATTCCTTTATGGATTCAATGACATTGGAAAAAGCGGAAGCTGGCTGTTTCCCAACCCCCACCCCCACCCCCACCCCCCACCCCCTCTTCTCCTTGGGGGGGGGCTGGGAGCCGCCAGGCAGCCCCGGCCGGCTTCCGTCCTGCCACACCTGCTTCTCCCAGCCCTGACCCTGCTTCCCTGCTGGGCCTCCGCCAGGTCCCCCCCCCCCCCGGGGCCCCCAGCAGCTGAGCGTGAGTCAGCAGAGGCGGCCGCGGGGGGCGGAAGTGGTCGGCTCAGCCCCTGGACCGCAGCTGTGGGTCCCCCCCCACCTCCCCGGGCGGGCGGGCCGGCCAGCAGGAAGAGGATCCGCGTGCGGCCGCATCCCCCTCCCCACACCGCCCACCAGCGCCTGGGCTTGCTAAGCACTCAGGAGGCACCTGCTGGATGCCAGGGGTCAGCTTGGTGGGGGGGTGGGGGGCTGAGGCCGGAGCCGTGCAGCCCCGAGCCCGGGTCATCCGGGAGCATCTCAGATCCTGTCGTGCCCCTGTCCAGAACTGGGGACCTCAGAGGACAAAGCATCCGGAAGTCTCTGCCCTGCTCCTCTCCGGCTCTGGCTCTCGGCCTCCCCACTCCCTTATCGGCATCACAGGAGGTGTGGGAGCAGGTGGCGGCCCCACCCACCCTTTCCATCTTCCAGGGGACCAGACAAGCCCGGGCAGGTCCGAGCACTCCCGCTGGGCTACGGGGCTGACAGGGAGCGAGGGCGAAGGGGCTCCTGGCTTGGGAGCACCTCCTCCCCCCACCCGCCTCCCCCACGCCTGCCTCGCTCCCCACTGTCCCCAGCAGACCTCAGCATCTTCCACCGACCCATGGGTTTTGAGGAACTTATAGGAGTTCTCCAGGTGGTAAATGAGGGAGGAGGTGACATAGTGGAGAGGAAAAGTTGGTCTGGGACCAGAGAAATGAGAGGGCAGGGGTTGGCTGCGGCCGCCTGGGAAGTGAAGGGTGGAGAAAGAGCCCCCTCTCTCCCCTCTAACTCTCCCTTCCAAATAAATCAATGACTCTGCTTTTTTTTTCTTTTTAAACCATCCGCTGGGTTACTCCCCAAATGGCTACGACAGCCAGGGTTGGGCCAAACCAGAACCTGGAGCCTGGGACTCCATCCGGGTCTCCCTCGCAGGTGCAGGGGCCCAAGCACCTGGGCCATCACCAGCCGCTTTTCCAGGCCACAGAGGGGGCTGGATCGGAAGTGGAGCAGCCGGGACTCGAACCGGTGCCCGTATGGGATGCTGGTGCCAAAGCCGGTGCCTTTACCCAATTTTATTTATTTTTATTTATTTATTTTTTGACAGGCAGAGTGGACAGTGAGAGAGAGAGACAGAGAGGAAGGTCTTCCTTTGCCGTTGGTTCACCCTCCAATGGCTGGCGCACCACGCTGATCCGAAGGCAGGAGCCAGGTGCTTCTCCTGGTCTCCCATGGGGTGCAGGGCCCAAGCACCTGGGCCATCCTCTACTGCACTCCCGGGCCACAGCAGAGAGCTGGCCTGGAAGAGGGGCAACCGGGACAGAATCTGGTGCCCTGACCGGGACTAGAACCTGGTGTGCCGGTGCCGCTAGACGGAGGATTAGCCTAGTGAGCTACACCCAATGGCGGTCCTGCTTTGTCCTGGGGACTAATGGGAGCCACGGGTGCCCATCTGCTCTGACTCCAGCTCCCTGGGAGGCAGCAGGCGATGGCTCAGGTGCCTGGGCCCCTGCACCCACGCGGAAGCCCCGGATGGAGCTCTTGGCTCCTGGCCTCAGCCCGGCCCAGCCCTGGCTGCTGCAGCCATTTGGGGAGAGAGCCAGTGAATGGGAGACCTCTGTCTCCCTTTCAAATAAAATAAAATAAAATAAATAGGGCACGCGGAGGGCGTGGGAGGCACAGAATTAGGTAAAGGGACAGAGACCTCCCGCTCTGGGAACCGGGTGAAAGGCCACGCCCAGCCTCTCCCAGCCCCTCCCGGGCTGTGGGACGCCCCCCACCCCCACGCGGCTCTCCCGGACCGACGCTGGGGCGGGCAGGTGCGTGTCCAGGTTGCTCTGCAGGGCTGGCGGCCCCGCTATGGTCGGTCCCCAACTTCCTATTCTCTGGGGACGGCACAATGACGTCGTCTCTATGGGGATGACGTCATCACGCGCTCAGAGGACCACGCAGTGTTCCCTCAGCTCAGGGCCCCGGAGCACCTGGCACCGGCATTCCCAGCTCTGCGTGGCGCCTCCTCCCTGGGCGCCCAGCTTGGCGGCAGCCAGATTCCGGCTTTGTCTCCCAGCCCAGCTGTGGCATGGAGCCCCCGCCCCCACGGCGCACAGGTGCGGGACCCCACGGGAGCCCCAAGGTCACTCAGCCTCCTCCCCCGACAGCATCGCATTTTCCTGCCCCAATTTTATGATCTCAAATCCACCTGTTGCTAAAATGAGCTCCCTGGATTGAGGGAGGGGTGAGCCCGGCCCCACCGGCGCAATTGGAGATAACGTCTTGGTGCCCAGAATTGCCTTTTATAAAGCTGTTTATTATTTTATTTTCCTCTACTTGAAAGGCGAGGCGAGGGGCCTTCCACCTGTTGGTTCACTCCCAAAGTCGCTGCAACAGCCAAGGCTGGGCCAGGTTGCAGCCGGGAGCCAGGGGCTCCATCAGAAGCGGAGCAGGGGCCGGCGCTGTGGCGCAGCGGGTAAATTCTTTGCCTGCACTGCTGACATCCCGTTTGGGCACCGGTTCGAGGCCTGGCTGCTCCACTTCTGGTCCAGCTCTCTGCTGTGGCCTGGGAAAGCAGTGGAGGATGGCCCAAGTCTTTGGGCCCCTGCACCCACGTGGGAGACCCAGAAGAAGCTCCTGGCTTTGGTCTGACTCAGCCCTGGCTGTTGTAGGCATGTAGAGAATCAGTCATTGGTTGGAAGCCCGCGCCCCCATCTCTCTTTCAAATAAATTAGAAATAAATGCGAAGGGACCTCCACCCAATAGGCTGGAGCCTGAACCAGATATCTCCGACCAATCAAAGCAGGGCCAGGAGCTCCGAGACCAATCAGGGGCCGGCGCGCGAGCTGACCACGCCCCTCCCCGGCCCAGCCTCAGTCCGTGGGAACCTTCGCCTCTCCCCGCGCTGGGAGCCCGGGCGCGAAGCCACCGCTGCGCGCTGTGCCACCAACTCTGGCTTCCTTGGGCCACCCCGGTGGTGTCCGCGGCTTTGCGCGCCCCGGCGAGCGGACTCGCGCCTGGGGGCTCCTGCGGTATTTCCTACGTGGCAGGTGCGGTCGGCCCTGTCGCTCTGGGGACAGGGGGAACCCTGGGGGGCGCTGGCATGCCTCCTGCGCGCCCCCTGCTGGCCAAATAGCAGGACACGCACTAGGAATCGCCTTTTTCTCGTGTTGTACTGCATTGCTGGGTATCGAACCCAGACTCTCTTGTCGTGGGATGCAGGCACCCTCACCAGGACCCAAGCGCTGGACTGAGCACCGGCCCCGGGCCCCAATCCTTCTTGTTAGTCTCGGGCGGCACACGCCTGGCCGCCGCGGCGAGCCCAGCAAAGCACCACCCACCCAGGACAGAAACCCAGGGACGTGAGATCCCTCCCACTGGGCCCCTGGACGCCAGCGCCCACAAGGACACACAGGGAACGCTTTTCAGTGTTTTATTGGCTCTCTGAGGTTTCAAGAGGCAGAGCCCGGGGGACCCTGCCCTGGCCGGGGTCGGGGTCGGGGGTGTCCTGAACACAGAGTTTAACAAAGGCACTGGCAGGAGCTCTGGGTGGGTGTGGGGGGAAGCCACATGGGGGCTGGAGGGCGGGGACGCCTCTGGGGACAGGGACACAGGCAGCGCTCCAGTCGGATGTTTCTAGAGACACCAGGACGGAGATAAGAACCTGAGAGGCTAAGGGAAACCCCAGAGGGAAGCCAGGAGCCCCCTGCACAAGGGCACAGGGACCTCCACCCCCCACCGGTGTCCACGCGGTGGGCAGAGACCCCGCTTCCAACCCAGCATTTCCTGGAGGCACAGCATCAGGACCCCAAAGCCCCTGAGCTGGGAACAGCACAGGTGACCCCACCAGGAGCGGCCAGGAGCCACGGCCGCCTCGCTGGGCCCTGGGAGTCCTCGGGAGGCAGGCACTTCTGTGGGCGTCTGGCACCCCAGGGAGGCTTGGGGAAGGGGCGCGGGGACGGGGGAGGAGCAGCTGGGGCTGAACCGCGTTCCCCCGGGGAGCGGGAGCCTCCCCCGCCCCCCCCAGCGCTCGGCTGCGCAGGCGTCCCGGCACGGAGTGGGGGATTGGCCCGAGCCCGTCCCCAGCAGTCTGCGCTGCGAGTCTCAGGGGACCCCAGCCCTGCACCTGCCGGTCCCGGCCAGCAGTCCTGGGTGCTCACGGCCCGTGGGCCTGCAGAGGGGACGTGGAGTCTGCGACAGGGAGGCCAAGGCCGCGGTTACCATGGCTGCCGGCGCCCAGGGGTCTCCGCAGAGAATGAGGCTTTGTCCTTGCCTTCCCCAAAGGGGATTTCAGGGTTCAGCCGCTACAAGGGGCGGGGAGGTCAAAGGTCAACTGTCTAGACAGCAGCAGCCCCCCCTAAGTCCCAGCAGCTCCTGCTCTGCCTGGGGGCGGGACCCAGGCCTTGGGGGGAGGGGCGGAGCCGCAAACCAGCTGGCCTCCCATCTCCATGCCGCCGGAAAGAGTGGGCCACCAACTGGTCCCTGGCTGAGATAAGTGCCACCTGACATTCCCGGACTGGCAGGCCCCGCCCCTCTGGGGCAGGTGCACGGGGTGGGGGGCAGCGAAGGGTGGGAGGGGGGGAGGGGCGATGGCAAGGTCAGTCCAGCAACCCCAGTTCCTGCTGCTCTCCGCCTTCCTTTCCTTCTAGCCTCTCCGTCTTATTTCTTTTTCAAGTCACTTCCTCGCGAACACAGTACCGACCTTCCTCTAGGCGGGGAGGGGGCCAGGCAGGAGGCACGCAGATGCCAGCGTCACCCACCTCGGCCGGTCCCACAGGGGTCACCGGGAAGCCCCCATCTGCTCCCTAGGAGACCCCACCCCTGGCAGCGACCCTCTCCCCTCAGGCCGTCTCTTCGCCATTAAGGCTTAGCACACACCGCCCCCTCCTCCCTAGGCACCTGCCAGGCCCCTCGCAGCCCTGCACCCCTGCCCTGCCGCCCCCCCCCCAGGAAGCTCTACAAATGAGCGGGGGCAGGGAAGAGGGTCTTGGGGAGGCCCAGAACCGCCAAACGCAGACAGACGGACACGCCACGGAGCGGGGGCGGGGCGGATGGGCTCGGTGGGGTCTGATGACTTCCCTCCCTGTGACCCCGTCCCCACGAGGAGATGCTGAGCTGCACGGTGGGAACAGAAACGTCACACACACACTCGACGTTGGCAGTGGCTGGACATAAGTCACACCCCGCGGAGCTGGGGGGAGGGGCCTGGCTCCCCTCCCCCAACCGCAGCCCCTCCTCTCCTGTCACCCCTTGGACTCTGCAGGGCAGACATCGTCAGAGCCTGCGGCTGCCCTGACCCTGACCGAGGCCTCCGGGGGCTCCCTGAGCCGGGTCCCCCCTCCCCCCGCATGGTCCGGCTGGGAGGAGACAGTGCCCCCAGCAGTGCATCTCCCAGGAGACAACAAGGTTGGGGGCTGAAGGCGGGGCAGGGTGGGGGGAGCCCAGTCATTTCAACCTGCAGCCTCCAGCCCCCCATCACCCACCCCCCCCAGTTCCCTGCAAAGGGAAACCCTGGGCCCGGGGAAGCGTGTTTCACGGACACGCATCAGACACGCATCCGAGCGGCGGCGCGGGAACAGGTGGGGAGGAAGGTGGACGCTGGCGATAGCAAAGTGACATCACAGTCCCCAGGTTCGGGGACACTGAGCCAGGGCCCAGGTCAGGGTGACATCCAGGGCCCAGGTCGGGGTGACATCCAGGGCCCAGGTCGGGGTGACATCAGGGGCCGAGGTCGGGGTGACATCAGGGGCCGAGTTTAGGGTGACATCTGGGGCAGCGGCTTCCCTGGCTGCTGGGGTCACGCTGTCCCCCTGACGTCACCTCCAGAGGCACCGATTCCACCACGCCCCCCCCCCGCAGGGGTCAAGTTCAAAGTTGCCGGGGGTCAAGCACGAGGTAAAATTTTACCCATGCGGTCCTGGGCCCGTCTCCAAAAACCGTCGTCATCGGATGTGTGGGCTGCCACCCCCGCCCGGCCCTAAAACATGCCAGGGCTTGCCCAAGTCAGCGCCAGCCCGCACCCCCGCAGGACCGCGCCCCCCTGGCTGTCACCCCCATCGCAGCCCTGAAAAGATAAACCTGGGCCGGACCGAGGCAGCAGCTGCAAAGTCTCAGACGCTAAAAATAAAATCAGAAAAGTCCGGGTGGGGGGCAGACTCTGCCCTCCCCTGGGTGCCCAGACCCTCAGCGGCCGCCCCAATGGCAGTGAAGGGGAGGGGGCTTCCTGCCGGCCCCCAGACAGAGGCCTGGCTTGTCTTCAGTCCGGGGGAAGGGGGGCAAACGGGGCTGCACCCTAAAAGCAAAAGCCAGGTCGCACGTCGGCATCGGGACCGAGAGCACACACAGGTCGCTCACTGTGCGCCCGCGCTAAGCCGTCCTGCTCTTGACCAGAGAGAGGAAGAAATAGCAGAGGGAAACCCGGACCGCGTCCTGGCCCAGGGCTGCCCCGGCGTCTGGCTCGCCGCCCCCAGCCGCTGCACATTCGAGAACAATCCATGGAGGCACAGCGCGCTAGGAAATCCGGCTCTTGGGAGCGGCTGACGGGCAGGTGGCCGCCGCGGTGGGTGCGGGGGGCGTGGGGGGCGCATCAGCCCTCCCCCGCCCCCCAGATGCCGGGGAGGGGGAGGGGAGGGAGAGAGGCGGGGCTCAGCGCTGGCGGCAGCAGCTGCCCTGGCGGTCCGACTGTTCCAGGACACCCAGCATCTCTGCGATGATGACGCGCAGCGCCCGGCCCAGCTGGTCGGCGTTGTAGGGCTTGCCCAGCGGGGGCACGTGGACGAAGGCCGAGCGCCCGTGGCCCTGGTACAGCGACGTGTAGTAGGTGAAGTCGCACAGGTACCTAAGCCGCGGGCCGGGCCGGAGGGAGGGGGGAGAAGCCGGGTCTGAGCGCGCTGCCCCCTAGAGCCTCGCCCACGCCCACGCCCACGCCCACGCCCACGCCCACGCCCACGGCCTCCGCCAGCAGAGCGGAGAAAAGCCGCGGTCAGCCTGGCAGTCAGCCCAGCGGCTCAGACACCTGCGTGGCACGCAGCGGAGGGCCTGGGTTCGAGTCTCACCTCTGGCTCCCTGCGCACGCGCGCCCTGGGAGGCAGCCGGGACTAAGCTGCAGCCGGTGGCTTAGCCACACCGCTGACCCCTCCCCAGGCATGCGTGTGCAGCGCAGTCAGTGGACTGCGCGCCCCCCTCTCGCCCTGGCCCGGCCCTGCGGAGCCCTACCTGCCGGCGTCCTGCGAGATGGTGACCGTCACGTCCAGGCCCAGCTCGGTGAGCCGCTCGCACACGGCGTCCATGTCGATGACCGAGTCGATGCTCTCGGGCCCGTCCTCCACGCAGCACTGGGAACCCGGGCAGAAGTGCCGGTTGTCCAGGCCCTTGTAGCCCTTGTTGTGACCACACTTCTCCAGCGTGACCGTGGTGGCCATGCCCGACACGCCCACGTGCACCACCAGCTGCCGACACAGGGCGGGGTCAGGGAAGCCGCACTGGACACAGTGTTATCTGCGGTTACTGTTTCGGATCGCCAGCTGCTACAGCCAAACGCAACAAGGTAGCCGGTCCCAGAAAGGCCGGATACACGGTGAATTGGGGCGCCACTACTCACGGGCCCCAGGGGAAAGTGGTCGAAGCCCAGGGACCCACGTCACAGCCCACAGCCGCCGCTGCTTCAAGCCCCAGCTCCCGGGGGAAGTGCGCCCCGGGGGCCAGCAGGGTGACAGCTCCAGTGCTGGGGCCCCTGCACCCCCGTGGGAGACCCGGATGGAGCTCTTGGCTCCTGGCCCAGCCCCGGCCGTTGCAGCCATTTGGGGAGTGAACCAGCCGATGGAAGCTCTGTGTGTCTCTCCTCTCTGTGTGCGTAACTCTGATTATAAATAAATACATATCACAGGGCCGGCGCTGTGGCGCAGCAGGTTAACGCCCAGGCCTGCAGTGCCAGCATCCCATATGGGCGCTGGTTCGAGACCTGGCTGCTCCACTTCCCATCCAGCTCCCTGCTGTGGCCTGGGAAAGCAGTAGAAGATGGCCCAAGTCCTTGGGCCCCTGCACCTACACGGGAGACCCGGAAGAAGCTCCTGGCTCCTGGCTTCAGGATCGGCTGAGCTCCGGCCATTGCAGCCAGTTAGGGAGTGAACCAGCAGATGGATGGAAGACCTCCCTCCCGCCCTCTGCCTCTCCTCTCTCTCTGACTTTCAGATAAATAAATAAATCTTAATATATATAATGTGCATATAAATCAATCTAGAAACAACAGCAGCCCAGGTGGTTGCCATGGAGATCACGCCCCCTCCAACAGCCACAGCCCCAAGCTGACACCCTCGTCTCCAGCCGGCCCGCCCTAGTCCGCATGTGACTTGGGCCCAGCCAATCAGGATAGTTCTCCCATCACTCCCCTGCAGTGATTGGTTCAGGGACACCCATCTGTCACCCACTCTGGCCAATGAGCATCAGCCACGGCCTTTGTGGGGAGTGTTGTGGGAAAGATGTTGAGCTATTAAGAGGCTGGGGTGGGCGGAGTCGCTGGTCCTCGAGGCCACAATGAGGCCCCTCCCTCGGCGCCAAGCCGAGCCAATCAGAGCTGGGAGGCCGCGGGACAGCTGGATCAGGCCGTACCTGCAGCACACACACCTCTGCGCTCAAGTCAGGTTGCCCTGGGTTCCCAGAGAGCAACATGGAAAGAAAGGTGGGCTTGGGGTGGGGGTAGGGGAGGGGCAAGGCTGCGGCGTTGGTGGCGGGATCCGAGCTGGGCCAAAGCCGCAGAAACCAGGCTGAGCGCACCTCACCTGTGGGCTGTGCTTCTCCCACAGGGCGGGGATGAGCCTCTGCACGGTCTTGTACTCCACGGGGATCTCGTACACGTGCAAGTCCACGCTGTCCCCCAGGCCCAGCTTCTCCAGCTCCTGCCAGCGAGAAGAAGGCGAGGCGTGAGGGCGCAGGCAGGGGCCGCCGCCGCCGCCGGGGACAGAGTGACCCCACCTCGGGAAACACGGCTCAACCTTATGTGAACGGCAGAGAGAGAGACAAGGACCTCGCGTCCGCTGGTTCACTCCCCAGCCCGGCCGGGGCCAGGCTGAGGCCAGGAGCTCCATCCGGGTCCCCCACGTGGACGGCGGGGGCCCTGGCATCGGCTCCATCAAGGCTGCCTCCCGGGGTGTGCGTTAGCTGGGGTCCAGAGCCAGGGATCAAACTCAGGAGTCCTGCCGTGGGACAGGCGAGGAGCTGGCCCAGTCCCGCACACGTGGAGCGAGGTTCGAGTCCCGGCTGCTCCACTTCCCAGCCAGCTCTCTGCTGTGGCCTGGGAAAGCCGTGGAGGATGGCCCAAGTGCTTGGGCCCCTGCACCCGCATGGGAGACCCGGATGGAGCTCCTGGCTCCTGGCCTCAGCCTGTCCCCGCCCTGGCCGCTGCAGGCATTCGGGGAGGGAAGCAGGGGATGGAAGCTCTCTCTCTCTCAATCACAAAGAATGCGAAAATTCGCTTCCGGACCAAGCTGGAGGCGTCCCCAGGTGTGAATGCAGGTGCGCGGCGCCACCTCCTGGCCACGGGAGGAACAGCAGGTGGCCGAGAATTTTGACCCTGACCCAAGACCCACTGACCCTGCCTATCTGGCCGCCCCCCGATGGGCGCAGGCTGCAAGGGCTTCAGTCCCATGTTCACTTACGTGTATGTATATGAAAGTCAGAGGAGGAGAGAGCTCGCCCAGCCACTGGTTCACGGCCCAAATGCCCATGACAACTGGGGCTGGGCCGGGGGCTGGGAGCTCCCTCCGGGTCTCCCATGCAGGTGCAGGGGCCCAAGCACTTGGGCCACCTTCCACTGCTCTCCCAGGCCACAGCAGAGAGCTGGATCGGAAGTGGAGCAGCCGGGACTTGAACCAGCGCCCCTATGGGATGCAGCACTGTAGGCGACAGTTTTACCCGCTATGCCACAGCGCCTGCCCTGGGGATCTTCTTTTGGGGTGACGGAATGTTCTGGAATTGTACACAGGTGATGCGGCACAGCCCGTGGGGGTCCCGACACCCGCTGGATCGTGTCCCGTGAAGGGGGGATTCTATGGCGTCTGACTGTAAAATGGGGATGGGGGCACTGGACCCCCTGCCCCAGGTGGAAGTCAGGGAAGCAGAGACGCTGTGCTCGGGGGTCTGGGGCGCCCTGGCAGCTGCCAGTCCTGCACCTGCTGCAGTGCCGCGGGCCGGTGTCGGGGTCACGGCAGGTGTTATGCTGGGGACTCCCGCGCACCCCACACCCGAGTGCCGGTTCAAGTCCCAGCTCCTCTGCCTCAGATCCAGCATCCGGGGAGGCCACAGTGACGGCCCCGGTGCTGGGCCCCTGCACCCACGTGGGAGACGTGGACGGAGCTCCCAGCCGCTGGCTCCGGCCTGGCCCAGTCCCAGCCACGGCGACCACTGGTGGGGGGGACCCCTGGTTGGAAGGTCCGTCTCCCCCTAAGTCTGCCTTTCAAATACATATTTATTTTTGATAAAAAATAAAAAGACCTTTATTTGCTCAGACACAGCGGGGGCGCAATTGTAGGGAGACCGCGGATGGACGCAGCTGTGCCACAAGGAGCCACCGACCCCAGCGACCTTCGAGAGGGGGCAGGGAGCCGCCTGCAGACCCGCCTGACGCCATGACGTGGGCACCACGGCCAGGAGCCCGGGCCGGAAAGTGCCCACAGTAGCCAGGGCTGGGCCAGGTGGAAGCCAGGAGCCAAGAGCTCTATCCGGGTCTCCTAGGGGGGTGCAGGGACCCCAGCACCTGGACCCAGGGCCAGAGCCAGGAGCAGAGCGCGGCTCCAACCCGGGTCCTGAGAGGGGGCGTGGACGTCCCCTGCGCCCACCCACTGAGCAAACCCAGAAGCCCCAGTGGGGCTCATTCATCCCAAGAAACACAAGGCAAGAAAAAGAGGCGGCTCCCCCGGGGGCAGGCTGAGCCGCGGGCCCCTCCCACCCGGCGGGAGACCGGGCAGCGCTGTCTGTGGCCAGCGGGGCTGGGACGCAGCTTTGGGGGGCGCCATGGGGGCCGGGGCTGGTTGGGGTGGGGGCCGCTCTGTGTCTGGGGCAAGGGATCAGTGACACAGACACAAAAACCTGTCACCCAAGCGACGGGGCCAGGAGGCCAGGGAGCCACGAGCGGGCGTGGGGCGTGGGGCGTGGCGCGGCCTGCCCGTGGCCCCATCCTCGCCTTCCCTGAACGTGCCGGGGCCGGCCTCTCCTGGGGTGGGGCGGCGCACCCCAAGTCCCACGCCCCTGTGCAGCGGGGGCTGAAAGGACCCAGCTGGGAGCCCCAGACGCGGCATTGTCTGTGCCCCATCTACCTGACAAGGCCCCGCGGCGGGAGCGGCCGCCTCTGAGCCCCGGAGAAAGACCCTCTTTGTTCCCGGCTAATGTCCTTGGCAGGTCTGTCTAGACTCGCCATGATGTCACCGCATCCTGCACCCGGGCCTCGGGCAGGGGACGCTGCACACGGCCGCCAGTCCCCGGCCAGGGACGCCCACCTGAGCTGGGGGCGGGGGGCATGCGCTGACACCCAGGGGCCAGCCACGGGCCTGTGGGGTTCCCCCCCCCCCGCCATGTGGCTGCCGGAGACAAGTTCACCGGGCGCTGGGGCGGGAGTCGGCTGAGCGAGCAGATAAGGCAAAGAACTGGGGAAACTGGGGTGGTGGGGGTGGGGACACCCCTTCCGCAGGTGGCCAGCTGGGCCAGGAAGTGCCGGTGCCCCCCCTCAGGGGGACCTGCCACACTTTGGAAGTCGGCACACCAAGAACGCCCTGAGCCGTACCTCCTGCAGCCGCGGTGACAGCTCTTTAACAGACACATCTGCTTTTCCCCAGGGCCATCGGGGACTCCCGGATGACCGCCCTGGGCCAACATCACGAATGCAGAAGCTGCCGGGCTCCCCACAAGCAGGCTCGGGGCATGGGGTGTGGTGGATGGCGTCGTGTGCGCCAAGTTCAAGAACAGGCAAAACCCACCCCGTGGCAGGAAAGGGGCCGAGTAGGGACGCAACTGGGGTGGCCCCCGAGGGGCTGCTGTGGTCAACGGGCGGATCTGGGCCCAGATACAGACAGGGTAGAGACGTTAGATTTCCTTAAAAAAAAAAAAAAGGCAATCGGGGTGGGCATTTGGCCTGGCCGTTGGAAGGTCTGGGTTTAACTCGAGCTCCCTGCTAACGGGCACCCCGGAAGGCGGCTCGCGTGCCCCGGCCCTGTCGTCACTCATTATGACACCCAGTGCCTGGCTGCCGACGTGGGCTTTGGTCCAGTCCCGGCTGCTGTGGGCACCCGGGGAGTGAACCAGTGGAGGGGAGATCTCCCTCTCTCTCCCTCTCTGTCTCTCTCCCTCTCTCTCCCTTTCCCTCTCCCTCCCTCTCTCTCTCTCTCTCTCTCTCTCTCTCTCTCTCATACCCGGGTGGGAGGAGCCTGGCACCTTTTTAAGGAATGGTGGGAACCCTCTCTCCCCATCTCGCGGACGTCAGGAAGAAAGCGCCAAGGGTCTGGACAGCCGGGCAGCCAAGTTCAAGGGGCCGGGTTGTTTTTTTTTTTTTTCCTCCCAGACACAGGGTAAAAAGCACCGGCCCCGCCAGGCGTGCCCCGAGCCCGAGGGATTCCCAAAGATGGTTTAATTGATTTTTTTCTCCTATTTAGATGCAGATCACAGTGTCTGGGGCCCAGGAATTCAGACACTCGGCTTTGTGTGCAGTCAGCCCCGTGGAGGCTCCTGTCTGAACCCGGCACAAAGCCGACACACAGCAGCACGCTGCCCCCTTTTGTCTGCGGCTCCGGGGAGCGGGTGCGCGCGGCGGGCCGGGGACCGTGGCCCTCCGTCCCCACGGCCAGGGCCCTGCGGTTGAGCCAGGCCAGGTGGGGGACGGTAACACGGGGAGGGGTGGGCACACGGGCTTCGCAAGTTGGGCCTGTCTCCCCCCTCTGCCCCAGGACTCGGGAGCAGGGGGCCGCGCGTGGGTTCCGGGGGGCTCTGCTCCCCACCCAATGATTCACATGGGGAGGAAGCCCCCCTCACTGTTCCCCAGTCTGTCCCTCCAAATCCCCCATCTGGCAAAGATGCTGAAAAGACTGTGCAGGTGGAAACCCGTGCCCCAGCGTGTGGTCCCCCCCCACCCCTAACTGTCTGGAGGAGACGGCTGTGCCCCTCCTGTGAGTGGCAAACACTCCCCAGCCCCCAGCAATACCCCTGTGCCTGGGCCTCCCCAACGCGTCAGCACCTGGGGACCCTCAGGTGGGTCATTTGGGGAGCCATCGCGCACCCTGTGTGTCTCTGGATAGACGCAAACGATTTGGGGTAAAAAGGAGAGGGGGGGAAAAAGCCCACGTTTGGGTGCGTCCAGTCAAAGCGGGGGCCTAGAAACTGACACTGGTTACACCTGCCCCCCCCCGGGCTCCCGCGACCCAGCGCCTCTCCTGTTTCCCAGCCCCGCAAAGCGACCTCGGACGGGAACGCCGACCACGCGAGGGCAGTTGGGAACAGTTGGCGACAGGTGCGCGCCAGCCACAGAAGCCGTCTGGGGGAAGCCGCGGGCCCCGCGCTTGGCTGTCGCACAGAGGGCTCGTTCCCCGGGGACCCCGACCCCCGTCAAGTTCCCCGGGGACCCAGACCCCCGTCAAGTTACCTGCACTGCGATCCAGCTAGCGTTCACGGTGTGCTCCCCAAAAGGGCCGAACCCTGGGGAAGAGAAACACAAAACCAACACACTGATAGCGACAGGCCGCCGTCCTCCCCCAGCAGGTGCACAGGGGGCTGTGGGGAGCCTGGGCCTGGGGGCGCCCGGGGCCCCTTCCCCACCTGCCTGCCCCTGGGGCCCAGCGAGGGGCCCCTGCCTCTCCCTCTCTCAATGCCCCCCACGACACCGACCCCATCTCTCATGATTTTCTCTCCGGCTCAGGAAAGGCGAAGCCCAGGTAACCTGCGGTTAGCGCCGCCCCGAGGGCTGTGTGCGTCTCCCCCAGGCCGGACAGTCCTCCCACACCTGAGGCTGCGCACAGGAACCCATAGGCTAGGGAGCACACCCAGCCCCACCGAATGCCGTGCACGGGTCTCTGCGGGGCCCACTTTTCAGAGGCTGGGACCACGGTGCCAGCTGCCCAGAGCCACGCGGCAAGCGCTGGGATTCAAACCCACACTGAGAGAGTCCACGGCTCCGGCCTCCTTTGAATCCCTGGGTCACACTGCCCCCCGCCCCCGGGGAATAATCACCTCTCAGTAAACAATTACCAGCATGGCCAGCCCACTGGGCAAATGACCCCGCGTGACCCAGTGCCCAGAGAGCGCCCTGCCCCCTCTTCCTGCTACAACTGAGCTTACTGCGTGATCTCGGGGCCTCAGCTGCCCTCTCTCTGGGCAAGGAGCAATCAGAGTGAGGACCACACTCAGGACACCTGTGGTGGGCGGCGCCCCCCCCCAGCGCCCCCCCCACCGACTGTGCGCACCTGTTACAGCCAGCGTGGCCTGCCCTGGGCCACAGACACCTGTCCGAGCTTTCTCCCCATTCCCCCTCTAACCTCTCCAGGAAGCGGGGGTGAAATGACCCCCCCATTCTGAGCCCCCCCACCGCGGAAGTTGGTGCCACGTGGCCCCAGGCGGAGACTCCGGGAGGAGGGACAGTCTGTGTGTGGGGGGGTGTGAGTTGGTGACAGCTGGGTCGGGCTCACCCTTGAAGATCCCGGACAGGCAAGGTTTGGGCTGCGACGGCCCCTGACAGCTGGTGTCTCCGTCCCCCGGCTCTAACCTGCTCCTGCCCGGGGGGCTGGGGGGCGGCCCTCCCGCCGCCCTGAGAACGCAGGGCGGGGAGTAGCGGTTGGGAGGCTCCCGTGTCACCCGGACGCCTCCTGCCCGCAAATCGGCCTTTGTCCCCTGGGGTCAGGCCCGGGAGGGGCGGGCAGGCGGGTGCAGCCCAGCGGCGGGCCAGGTGGGCGCTCTAGGGTCACTGAGCCCCTTGGGAAACGAAGGTTTCCCCCTACACGTCCTGACCCCCGACCATGAAGCCCCAAAGGCTACCTTTTGCACTTTCTGGGTCGCCCAGGCCAAGCTGGGTTCCCGCGAGCGATGACACCTCCCCAACCCGGGACGACTTCGCGCACCTGCGCCTCCCAGCCCCGCCCCCGCCCCCGGGCCCCGGCCCCGGCCGCCATCCGTGCGCCGCTCGCCTACCGGTCACCACCACCGCCTTCCTGGGCTGCTCCATGGCGCACTCGGGCAGCGCCTCCGCCCCGCTCGCGCTCGGACTGGCGCGGCCGCTACGCCCGGCCTCGCCGCCCCGCCCCCGGGCTGGCCCCGCCCCCGGGCCCAGGCCCCGCCCCCGGCGTGCGCTCCCCGAGAATCGACACGCAGCGTGCGCGCCCCGCCCCGGACCCTCGCCCCGCCCCCGGCAGGCCGCCGGCCGCGCGCTCTCCCGGGCCGGAGGCGCTGCGTGCGTGCCCGGCGCTCAGGCTCCGCCCCGCCCCTGCCCCGGGGGCCGCCCCTGGGCTGCAGGCCGGAGGGCGTGCGCGCCCCCGGGCCCGGGCCGCCGTCTGCCTCCCGAGCCTGCTTCCCAGTAGGTAGATGCGGACAGTGCGTCCCTAGAGAGGAGAGTGCGTGGCGCGCGGAGCTGGCCGCTGGACGCGAGCGTTCATTCATTAAGCGCCTGCTGTATGCCCACTGCTGGAGTGAGGGGGCCGGGCTCACCTGCCCGAGGTCGCGCCTGCAGGGGAACGCAGGCCGAGGGGTTGAGGAGGGTAAAGGAGTTAAGAACAGGACAGCCACGTTTGGGGGGTGCCACCCAGAAACCTGTGCCCCGCCCTGCCGGCACCCTCCCCACACTCCCAGCTCAGCTGCTGTGGGCCCCGCAGCCCACCCCAGGACCTTTGCACTCGGTGTTCTCTGGCTGGACCATGACGGCCAGGGACCTGCAAACCAGGCCTCGACTCCGGGGTCCCGGGGCGCTTCTCTCCCCGGTTGGAACGGGCACAGCCCTACCCCTGGGGGCCCCTCTTGTTCCTAGCAGGGACCTGTGTAGGCCTCCCTGTATCATCATCGCTTTTCTGATGGAAGCCTCTTTCTTGGGACATGGGGGTCACAAATATCTGCTCTGTTAAAGCCACTCACAGGGCCGGCGCTGTGGCGGGGTGGGGGGAGTAGGTAAAGCCACCACCTGCAGTGCCTGCATCCCATAGGGGCGCCGGTTCAAGTCCCGGCTGCTCCACTTCCCATCCAGCTCTCTGCTGTGGCCTGGGAAAGCAGCAGAAGATGGCCCAAGTCCTTGGGTCCCTGCATCTGCATGGGAGACCCGGATAGAGCTCCTGGCTCCTGGCTTCAGATCGGCACAGCTCCAGCCATGTGGGGAGTGAACCAGTGGATGGAAGACCTACTCTCTCTCTCTCTCTCTCTCTCTCTCTCTCTCTCTCTGCCTCTCTCTCCTCCTGTCTGCAACTCTGCCATTCAAATAAATAAATCTTAAAAAAAAAAAAAAAAGTCACTTCCTGTGGTCTACAAGCCACACGCCCACCCCGGGCACACAGCAGGGCCAGAAGCTAAAGTCCAGTTTCTGTGCACATTCTCAGGGCTGGACCTTGGACGAGGGTCCCTGGCGTCTCATTCCAGCCAGGCCCGGCCCCCGCTGCCCCGGAGGGCTGCAGAGCGGTGCTCACGGCCTCCACCCACGGGGGCCTGCGCAGAGCTCTCTGCGCGCTCCGGGCTGCTTCGGGGAGAATTCAGAGAACGCGGGAGCTGGCCTGGGCCGGCCATAGGCAGAGAACCGATCGGAACAGCCGCCGGAAGCCAGGTTTTCCAACCTTGCAGCTCCGCTGAGCCCGGTGTGCACGTCTCCACGGCAGTGGATTCGAGTGTCGGGGCCGAGGGTACCTTCGTCACCGCTCCCCGAACAATGCCGGCGCTCGCGGGAGCCTGGGGATGACTCAGGGCGCGGGGGGCCGGGCGCTGGACCCCAGCTTCCATGGATTTTGGTATTTGAGGGAGGGGCGTGTCTTGGAACGAATGCCCCCACCCCCACAGATACCACGGGGCTGGGTGCCAGGCGCCTGCCCTGCCAGAAGCCGGGGGTATGATGAGAAGGAGGCCGGAGGAAGTCTCTGTGTCCCCACTTGTCCTTGAACTTGGGGAGGGAGGGCCCGCATCCAGAGTCAGCGGGGATGGGGGAAACTGAGTCACGGGCGGCTTTCCCGGGGCTGACGGTCAAGGAGGACAGTGTTCACTGGCAGGGACCCTGCTCAGACCACCTTGGGCTTATGTGTTGGAAAGGCAGAGAGAGAGAGAGAGAGAGAGAGAGAGAGAGAGAGAGAGAGAGACTCCCCCGTCTGCTGGCCCCTCCCCAAAAGCCTACAACACCTGGGACCCGGCCAGGCTGCGCCCAGGAGCTGCGGGGAGCCCCACGTGGTCTCCCCAGTACCTGGGCCTCCACCTGCATGAGCAGGCGCTGGGACAGGAACTGGGTCTCATCCGGAATGGGGGTGCCCCGGGGGGCCGTAACCCCTAACCTGAGCGCCCGCCCACTCTTCTCTCTGGTTCCAGTTTCTGAGACCTTGTTGAGGGCGTCCTGTAGTTGCGGGGTGGACGTGGCAACAATGTCACCGACAGAAGTGAACCTCGCAACAGTGTAACCAGGACGCCGTAGACGGCTACAGAGCCCCCCCCCCAGGGAGTGTGCTAGACAAACTCGCAGTGGCCACCCTGTGGTCAGGGCAGGAGCGGTCTGCTCACGGTGGCTCCTCAAGTGCAGCAATGACTTCAGGGGCCAGCGAGTTCGCTCCTGGGTGTGGAACCCCGAGAATGAGGCTGGGGCTCCAGGCTCCGGCCAAAACTCGGCAAAACCACGTCCGGCCATGGACGGGGGAGGAACTGCGGCACGGCCACGCGGCGGAGGACTACGCAGCCACGAAAAGGAGGGCGGCCGGAGACCTGCAGTGTGGACGGCGTTCAGACCCCGGCCCCAGGACGGACCTGCAGTGTAGACACTCAGACCCTGACCCCCAGACGGACCTGCAGGGTGGACACTCAGACCCTGACCCGGGATGGACCTGCAGTGTAGACGACACTCAGACCCTGACCCTGGGACAGACCTGTAGTGTAGACGACACTCAGACCCTGACTCGGGGATGGACCTGCAGTGTAGACACTCAGACCCTGACCCAGGACGGACCTGCAGTGTAGACACTCAGACCCTGACCCGGGACAGACCTGTAGTGTAGACACTCAGACCCTGACCCCCGGACGGACCTGCAGGGTGGACACTCAGACCCTGACCCGGGATGGACCTGCAGTGTAGACACTCAGACCCTGACCCAGGGACGGACCTGCAGTGTAGGCAACTCTCAGACCCTGACCCTGGGACGGACCTGCAATGTAGACACTTAGACCCTGACCCGGGACGGACCTGCAGTGTAGACAATCAGACCCTGACCCCGGGACGGACCTGCAGTGTAGACACTCAGACCCTGACCCCGGGACGGACCTGCAGTGTAGACAATCAGACCTTGACCCGGGACCGACCTGCAGTGTAGACACTCAGACCCTGACCCCGGGACGGACCTGCAGTGTAGACACTCAGACCCTGACCCGGGACAGACCTGCAGTGTAGATGACACTCAGACCCTGACCCCGGGACAGACCTGCAGTGTAGACACTCAGACCCTGACCCGGGATGGACCTGCAGTGTAGGCAACTCTCAGACCCTGACCCTGGGACGGACCTGCAATGTAGACACTCAGACCCTGATCCGGGACAGACCTGCAGTGTAGACACTCAGACCCTGATCCGGGACAGACCTGCAGTGTAGACACTCAGACCCTGACCCCGGGACAGAGAAGCCACCCGAGGCCCCAGGCGTGCGACCCCAGGGACAGGACAGGCAAACCAGAGAGCAGAAGCAGAGGAGGGGCTGCCGGTGGGGGAGGGGCCGCAATGGGGGCGTGGCCTCCTTTTGCAGAGAGATGGAGGTCACAGTTTCACCATCAAGAGCGTCTCTAGGCCGCTGAATGGGGCCCTTTAAACAGTGGTTGCAATGACACGTTTTGGGGGCCGGCGCCGTGGCGCAGCGGGTTAACCCTCGGCCTGCAGCGCTGGCATCCATGAAGTCAGACCCAGTTATCTACTCCCGAGACTCCGGGGCTGGCTGGGCTCGGCTGCACCGCCCCTCGAGTCCCGTTCCTGGCACTGCGGTGGCCAAGCCACTGTGGCCCCCTGAGCCGGATCCTCCGAGCCGGGAACGCCCGGAGGGGGGCGCTCCACCTGCTGCCGAGACAGCAGCAGTCAAATCATTTTAAAAAGATTTATTTATTGTATTTGAAAGGCAGAATGACAGGCGAGAGAGAGAGAGGTCTTCCATCTGCTGGGTCATCCCCTCATGGCCACAACGGCCAGGGCGGGGCCAGGCCGAAGCCCGGAGCCGCATCCGGGTCTCCCACGCGAGTGCAGGGGCCCGGGCACTTGATCACCTTCTGCTGCCTTCCCAGGCGCACGCACAGGGAGCTGGGCAGGTGCTCCGATAGGGCGCCAACCTTGCAGCCAGGGGCTCAACTCACGGTGCCGCCGAGCGGGTCCCGGCTGCTCCCCCTTGGGAGCCAGTTCCCTGCACATGCGCCCTGTCCCACGTGCCGCCCACATGGGCGACGTGGACGGGGCTCCCTGCTGCCGCCATGCGGGGGGCGACCAGCAGGTGGAAGACCTCGCTCCCCGCCTCTGCCTTCCAAATAATCACATTAAAAAAAAAAAAAAAAAAAAAAAAACGGGCTTGAGGAAGAGGGAGGCACGGAAATTGATGGCGCTCCAGGCGAGCTGGGTGCGAGGGTCACCGGGGGCCAGCACCCCTGTCACAGCGGCCCTGAGAGCCCGGAGCGCACCACGCACGGCCTCGCGCGGCTTAGCAGTGGGGTCGGGGGCGCGGCATTGCTGAAGCCCCCCAGAATCCCGTGCAAACCCTCAGGTCTCGGCGCTCTCAGTGGGTGAGCGGCTGGCAGGTGCAGGGGTGACAGCCGATGGTCACGTGGTGGGGGCAGACGGCCATCTGCAGGCGGAGTGAGGCGGCAGGTGCACCTGCTCGGGCTCCCGGACGCTGGGGCTTCGGCTTCAGGCACAGCGGGGTCCCCTCATTGGCTCCCCCCGGATCGTGTATTCCTTCTCGGATCTCACTCCTGATGGCAAGCTCTCCCTGGCTCGCTCCAACAACTTTGCACAAAAACACCCCCTCTCCTCCCTCCCAGCCCGCAGCCTCTTCCCTAGGGGAGCTTCTGATTGGCCTGGGCGGGTCACGTGCCCCACAAGGGGGCCGGCGGCCTCTGATTGGCTCCCAGCAAGACCTGCAGTACCGCAGCCGGCCACGCGGGGGCAGCCCAGCAAAGGTTTCCTGGACGCCCAGCGCTTGCCTGTTGCGCAAAAGAAAAATATACAAAAAAAAAAAAAATACTTTGCACGCAGAAAAGTCTAGAAAAGTCCGACAGGGGAGATCCAGTGTACAATTTTCTTCGCAGTCCCAGCGCCGTGAGGCTGCCCTTGGCGGGGTCGGCCTTGGGGTCCCGGGCACACACCGCTCTCTCCCCCTTTGGGGAGTCCCAGGGGGACAAGGCCTCCCCCGGGAAAAGGGGACGCGGCGGGGGGTGAGGGGGTATTTCTACTTCCGCTGTGAGAAGCCAGAGGCACGCCGGGACAGGCTTTGCACAAGACAAAGGATCAGACTGGGCCCAGGACACGCCCGTTAGGAGAAACCGAAACTCGGTTCTCCCCGGCAGGGCCAGGTGGGGACAACCAATGGGGTGGGCGGACTCGGTGTATGACCATAAGCGGAAAGGAGGACTGCGGATGCCCTAGAAGAGAGAGAGGCTGGACGCGCCGGAGGGTCCCTGCTGACCAGGGACGCCAGGGTAAGGGTGCCGCGCTGTTAGGACTGACTCGTTTGGAATAAGACAGAGCGGGTCGCTCCCACGGGGCCGTCAGCGAGAATCTGCCACGAGGTATCACTGTCTTGTCTCTGGGCGTCTCTGTGCTGTCTCCTTCCACCGCACTGACTTTCAGAAATCGCGGGCCAGCAGGTAAGTGCACACTGTCGTTGGCCACTCTGCACCTCCCGGACTTCCGGGCCAGGGCTCGCGACCTCCCGTGGAAGTCAAAAAACGCTAATTGGTAACTCTCCGTTCATTCGACCGAGCGGCCCGCCTTGGAGGCAGGCAGCTCCCACCAGGGGACGTTTGACCGGGCAAAGAGAAGACACTGATGTCAGGGCGCCAGGGTCGCCCCCCCCCCCCGCTGCAACACTTTGTGCCCCCCGAAGAGGAAGAACCGAGGGGACCGGTGGCCGAGGGGGGAACGCGCAGGTGCGCGGGGAATTGTGTCAAGGAGGGAGGCAGGGAGAACCCCTGCTTCAGTCTGCTCGCGTGTTTACCCTGATCGCTTGGACTTAGGGGCTGGGGAGACGCAGGTACCTCCACCGTGAGCCCTCAGGTAGCTCAGGGCGAGCGCCCACCTCCCCTCTCCATGCGGCACTGGCACATGGCACCTGCGCTGGTGGACCAGGCGGACAGGTGGAGCGGATGAGCCCGACCTTCCCAGAGGCTCTGAATGGGTGATTGGCGGAGACTGGGTGACGCCCCTCCCTCGGGCTCTGTTCCCTGCCAGGAACACCCCCTATAGACTCCACTTACTCCATTTGAAACAATGTATGGGTCGCCCGCCCCTCCCATATGCCCAGATTTGCCCGGGGACCCTAAGCTCACCGGCAGGACCGCCAGGGAACTCCTAGACACTGTGAGAGCAGGCGCGGGGGTTCGCCGGGAGCTGGCCAGGGAAACCGGCAAAACTCGCCTTGCCAAACACGACCTGGAACCCGGGCACGGGGCGTGGGCGCGGCGCCATCGCGAAGAGACTTTAGACGGGGGCCGGCGCCGTGGCTCACTTGGCTAATCCTCTGCCGGCAATGCCGGCATCCCATGTAGATGCTGGTTCTAGTCCTGGTTGCCCCTCTTCCAGGCCAGCTCTCTGCTGTGGCCCGGGAAGGCAGTGGAGGATGGCCCAAGTGCTTGGGCCCTGCACCCCATGGGAGACCAGGAGAAGCACCTGGCTCCTGGCTTCGGATCGGCACAGCGCCGGCCGTGGTGGCCATTTGGGGGGTGAACCAACGGAAGGAAGACCTTTCTCTCTGTCTGTCTCTCTCTGTCTCTAAAACTCTGCCTGTCAAAAAATAAAAATAAAAAAGACTTTAGAGGCACGTGGCAAAGGGCCTTACGGAGCTGTTCTGTGCCCCCCACTGCTGTTCAGGCGGACGGCATTAAAGCCTGGATTGACCGCCGGCGCAGGAGGCGTGGCCGAGGACCCGACGTCTCTGCGCCCGAGGACCCGGCGGCGTCTCCGCGGCCGACCCGTCAGCCCCCTCCAGCCAAGATGTCGGCTGCACTCATCCTGTTCCTGCTGGCCGTCCTCCAGATGAGTATGGGGACGAATCCCCAGCAGCCGGTTAACCTCACCTGGGAGGTGCTCAACCCCGTAGAAGACAGAGTGGTGCGGGCGGTGTCCGGGCGTCAGCCGGCCGGGACCTGGTTCCCCGGCATCACCTTTGACCTATGTGACCTGGTGGGGAGAGGGGACGCCGCGACACCCCGGTACGACCACCCGTCCAGCTGGTGCTCCTACACGTCGGGCGTCGCCTGGCTGAGGGGGCTCGAGTTTTACGTCTGCCCCGGACACCAGAGAGAGAACGCTGGGAAGTGCGGGGGGCCCGAGAGCTATTTCTGCAAAAGCTGGGGCTGCGAGACCACCGGCTCGGGGAGCTGGATCCGCGACAGCGCGGAGGATTACATCAGGGTGACGCGGAACACCTCCAGCGCCTGCCCCTGTCAGTCCAAGCTCTCCTACTCCGCCCAGGACCTGCAGTGCAAGCAGACGCCCTGTAACCAGGTCGTCCTCACCTTCACAGAGAAGGGTAGAGCGGCCCCGGGGTGGTCCCTGGGATACACCTGGGGCATGATGTTCTACCAGTCCGGGACCGACCCTGGGGTCCTGTTCACCGTCAGGCTCAGACAGACGGACCCTCTCCCCCAGTAGCGATCCGGCCAAATACGGCGCCCCCGGGGTGACCACAGCCTGTTGGACGTCAGCCCGCCTTTCTACGAGGCTGTGGGGCCGAACGGGGCCCCCACCCAAGCCCACACCCGCCGGTTCCGCCGTCGGGAGAAGCCCGGGGCTGGATCCCGCGTGGGGCGGGTCCCAAAGGCAGCAGGTGGACCTGCAAGACCCGGATGGAGCCTGGCCCGGACCTACCGCCAGCTCCCTGCGCATGCGCACCCTGGGCGGCCGCAGGTGGACCTGCGAGACCCAGCGTGAGCCTGGCCCGGACCAGCCGTCTGGGGAGGAACCAGCGGGCAGAAGCTCTCCCCCCAACCCCCCTCCGTCATTTGACAGGCAGAGCCCCCACCCGCCGCCTCCCAGGTGCCTTGGCGGCATCAGAGCAGAGCCGGGGCTCGAACCAGGGGACTCGAACCAGCGTCGAACCAGCTTACGCCGGCCGGGCCTCTGCCGCAGCAGACCCTGGGTTTCAGCGCCCCAGGCCCCCGCGTAGGAGGGGCCGGGCCTGTGCGCTCCCGCTCCCGGCGCCCGGAGACTCCAGAGAGGGGCAGGCTCTGCCCTGGGCGGGGCCGCGGGGCCTGCGGGGGAGGGGGCTTGAAAGCTAAGGTTATCTGGGGGCAAAAATAAAAAAGCACAATCCACAAACTCTCTCCTGTGTGCTTTCTCTTCACACCTTTTATTCTTTAAAAACTTTATTTTTGTTTATTTGCAAGACACAGGGACGGGGGAGAATCTTCCACTAGGTGAGGTCAAAGCCAGGAGCTGGGAACTCCTTCCGGGTCGCCGGGGGCCCAAGCAGTGAGCCACGGCTGCTGCTGGCCAGCGTCCGCGTGCGCAGTCCAGCAGGGCCGGGGCTTGAACCCGGGTGCTGAGATGTGGATGGAACCGGGACTTGAACCCAGGGCGCTCGGATATGGCCGGGGCCGGGGCTCGAACCTGGTGCTGAGATGTGGCCGGGGCTGGGACTCGAACCCGGGCCCTGGGATGTGGCAGGGGCCGGGGCTCGAACCCGGGCCCTGGGACGTGGCAGGGGCCGGGGCTCGAACCCGGGCCCTGGGATGTGGCCGGGGCCGGGACTCGAACCCAGTAAACTGGGATCTGGTCCGCGGGCGTCCTCACATCCGGGCCACACGCTCACCTGGGGAACCGATCTCTCGATTCCGCAAACACCTGACGTCACATTGACGTCACCTGTTAGAGCCGTCCCGGGGACTGCGCTGCGCCAGCATCGCTAAGGGCCGCCGGTTCGAGTCCCGGCCGCCCCACTTCCAACCAAGCACAAGAACGAGACCGAGACGCAAACCCGGCGCCATCACGGCCCGGCCCACACCGCGGAGCCCGGGCGACAGGACCGGCTCCTCTCTGCGCATGCGCAGCTACCCACAATGCAGCCGGCGCGCGCTGCTCCGCCCCCTTTTGCATCACTCGCCACGGCACTTTACGGCTCCGTCGCGGATTCTTCTGGCGGGAAGTTAGTCCCACCCCCTCGTGCTCCGAAGACCCGCCCTTCTGTCCGGGGATTGGTTATGCGTCCCCGTCGCCCCGCGGTGACTGGCTCCCGCTCCTGCCACTCCTTTTCAGGCTTGTGGCGCGCGGCGGGGCGGCGACCGGCGGCAGCGTGATCGGCGGCGGCGGCGGCGGAAGTGGCCGGGGAGCCCGGTCCCCGCCGACACCATGGTGAGGGCCGGGCGCCGTCGGGGTCTGTCCGGGAGGCGGGGTGCGGCTGGGGGTGGGCACGCGGCCGTCGGCGGCCCTCGGGTTGGGCCGTGGGGGTCGGGGCGGTGCGCTCCGGACGTGCGGGCGCAGCGTCCAGTCCCGCCCCCAGCCCCGAGCCGGGGAAACTGACCCGAGACGGCAGGTGCCTCGCCCAGGGCACCAGTACGTTGTTCTCCGAGGTTCACGGCTGGGCCGCCGTTAATCAAGGCTCAGCAGGCCAGCTGCGCGCTGTCCACTTTCCAGACGGGGAAACTGAGGCCGGAGGGGGCGGGGACCCCGCCGTCGGGCACTGTGGCTCGTGGGTGCCGCTGGGGGCTTCCGGCCCAGGGCAGGGTCCCCAAAGCGGGGCCGTGCGTTTCTCAGAGCCGGGGCCCGGTGGCCGGCGCCCGCTGCACGCCTGACGGCGGGGCTGGCCACCACGGCTGGCGGGCACTGCCCCTGGGAGTCCCCAGCTTCCGCCTGCTGCCGAGTTTCCTGGCCCAGGGGTGCAGGAGTCCTGTGGTCAGGGCGGGGCCTGGGGTGGGGGCGCCCACGGAGGGTCGCCCCGAGTTAGGAGCCCTTGGGTGTCGTCTTTGTCTTTGGTTTTTACGCACTGGAAAGAGAGGGAAAGGCAGGTGCAGAAAAGCCCCAGACGGCTCGGGGCTGGGGCAGAGCCAGGCCAGGAGCTGCACCCGGGTCTCCCACGCAGGTGCCGGCCCCCCCAGGCGCTCCGTCCGGGTCTCCCACGCAGGTGCACGGCCCCAAGGAGCTCCGTCCGCGTCTCCCACGCAGGTGCAGGGCCCCAAGGAGCTCCATCCGGGTCTCCCGCGCAGGTGCAGGGCCCCAAGGAGCTCCGTCCGGGTCTCCCACGCAGGTGCAGGGGCCCAAGCGCTTGGGCCATCCTCCACTGTTTTCCCAGGCGCGTTAGCGGCGAGCTGGGCGGGAAGTGGAGCAGCCGGGACTCGGGATGGGCGCGGGTGTCCCTGGCCTGTCTGCGGGGAAGCGAAGCGCCCTGGGCTGCGCCTGCCCCTCCGCGCGCTCCGAGTTCCTCCCCTTGGACCTGTGGCTCCCGCTCCTCCCTCTCTGCGGCCGCCGGGCCCGGGGTGGTGCTGCCTTAACCTCCTGCAAATATTTACCCTGGCCCCCGCGCCCGCGCGCCCTCCCGCGGGGGCAGCCTCCACGCCCACTGCGGGTTTTCCAGTCTAGCCGGGGAGACAGGTAATAAACACACGCGATAATTAGACGCCGGCTGCAGCCTATAATGAAATAAACAGCCGCGCGCCCCAGGGTGCCCATTAGCTGGGCCTGGCCCAGGGAGGTGACAGGGGGCGGAGGGAGGCGGCCCCGGGGCTGTGGCTGCCACCTGCCGGGGTCACGGGCCGGGGCGAGCGCCCAGGTGCCTCTGGCGGGGAGAGAAGCCCCACCCCCAGCCAGCGTGAGGCCCTGTCCCTGCGCCCCAGCGACGCCAGGCAGGCACACACGGCATCCAGATGACAAGCAGGGGCCGCCCCGCCCCCACCGCCGCCCCCTCTCCACGTGGCCCCTTCTTCCTCCTGAGCCCGGCCTCCAGGAAGCCGGGGCAGGAAGTGGGCTTGGGCCTGGCTTCCTGCTGCCCCCGGCCTCCCCTCCCCCAGGGGCGCTGCTGGGGAGGGCCCGCGGCGGGGGGGGGGTCTCCTCCTAGCTCACGCAGGAGGCTGGGGGGCGCAGGCCATCGCCCACTGGCGGAGCCGCCTTGCGTGGGGCGGGGGTTCCTGCCGGTTGGAGCAGAGACTCAGGTCCTCTGACGCCCGCGCGGCCCCTGGCAGACCCGGAGGGGGTCCCTCCTGGACAGGTCACGCCCACCCCACCCTGGCCCGGTGACCGGAGCACTGGGTCATCTTCAGCTGTGCCCCGCGCAGGAGCTGCGTCAGAGCCGGGGCTCAGCTCCACAGCGCCCCCAGCTGTCCGCCCGCCGGCTCCCCTGAGGCGGGGGGCTGCCCTGGGACGGACGCGGTCCCCGCGCTTCCGCACACAGGCCAGGGCCCCAGACCATGGCAGGGGGTGGCCCAGGAGCCCCCGCAGGTGCAGCATCCCGGGAGCACCGGCTCCCTGCGGAGGGCCTGGGAGGCAGCGGGGAGGGGAGGGCCCCGCGCTGGGCCCCCGCCCCCACCGCCCACGCGGGAGACCCGGATGTAGGCCCTGGCTTCAGCCCGGCCTTTAGTTATTTGAAAGGCAGAGATACGGGCGCCCTGCAGGCCCCAGGCTCCTCCGTGAACTTTCTGAATGCGGTCATATCTGCACCTCAGCTGGGCTCATGCAGCCAGGCGCGTGATTTATTTACTTTATGGGAGGGAGAGAGGTCCCACGTGCGCAGTCACTCCCCAGAGCCCGGAGCGCCATCCCGGGGCTCCCAGCCAGGGCGCGCATGCGCGGGGAGCTGAGCGGGCCCTACCCGGGGGCCCCCAGCCTGGGACGCAGCCGCCCTGACCAGGACGCCCAGCGCGCACCCCTGTAAATCCGCGCGGTTATTGGTAAAAATGAGCAGAGCGGGCCTTGCGTAGACCTGAAGTCGTCTTGGCGCGGCCTATGGGCCCTGCGTGGAGCCGTCCCCGCTCGGCCCGGGCCTGCGTGTGTTCTGGAATGTTCTCGCTGCACAGCGGGCTCCTTCTGCACGTGGGCCGCCTGGGGCGAGGCAACGGGCCTGCAGGTGCTGCCCACGGCATGGAGAGAGGTCAGGGTGGCCGCGCTGGGGCGTGGGCGTGGGCGTGGCCGCCGGGGGCGGGGCTTTTCTGGCAGGACGACGGGGGGGGGGAGTTTGGGGTTTCGGGGATGCCGCCCCGGGCCGCACAGTCCCTGGCTCACTTGCCTTTCAGCTTCCCCTGTCGCTGCTGAAGACGGCGCAGAACCACCCCATGGTGAGTGTGCGGGGGCTCTCCCGCCCGCCCGCGCGCAGCCCTGCGCCTGCAGCAGCCGGGAGCTCCCTCCGGTCCCCTGCGTGGGTGGGGGGTGGGCGGCAGGGGGCGCAGGGACTTGGGCTGGGGTGCTCACGCGCGGGAGGTGGTCGACGGGCCTCGCGGGGTCGCAGGGCCAAGCCGGGCCCCCCGGGCGTCTACACCTGCGGCCCCGACTCCCGGCAGCTGGTGGAGCTGAAGAACGGGGAGACGTACAACGGGCACCTGGTCAGCTGCGACAACTGGATGAACATCAACCTGCGGGAGGTGATCTGCACGTCCAGGGTGAGGCCCGCGCCGCCCCGCCCCCCTGCGGCCCCGCCCCGTGGGCGTCACCCGGCCAGCAGGAGGAGGGCAGCGCCCCCACCGCCGGGACCTACCGGGTGATGTGGGAGGGGCGGGGCGGCTCCCCAGGACCCACTGAGGGCCTCCCCCCGGGCTGCGAGCCCCTGCAGACCCCGGGGTGGCCGCCAGGCCTGGGCTGCCCCGCCTCCCGGTGGGAGGTGCTGGGTCAGACCCCGGGGTGGGGTGGGGTGGGGTGGGAGGGACCCGGCGCCTCCCCAGGGTTGGCTCAGCCCCCGGGCCCTGCTTCCAGATCCCCGGCGCCCGCGGGGAGGAGTGACGTCCCGGCCTGTCCTTGGCCACTGTGGAGCCAGCGTGGCGCTGGAGCTGGGCCCCATGGGACCGCCCTACTTGTGTCTGGCTGGCCTTGGGGTCCCCACTGGGAGCCCGCCCTCGGCGGCCTCGGCCGGCGACGCCCACCCAGCCGCCCGGGGAGCAGCTGACCGGAGGGGGGGTTCTGGCCGGGAACAGCGCCTGCAGGCACCGTGCGGGGCTGGTGGCCAGGGCGGGGCCGGTCCCGAGCTGTGTGGACCTTGTCCCTGTGCAGGGGCCCGGGCGGGGGTGTGGCCGGGAAGTGCCAGGATTGCATCTGTGGGACAGGGGCACACAGGGCTGTGGGGTGGGGGCGGGGCGTGCTGGGGGTGCCCCCCTCGGCCCACGGCACCGGTCACTGCCCCGCTGGGCCGTGGCTCCGTCGGTGCCCTGCTCAGGCCCAGAGACAGCTCTAGAAGGGGGGCTGTGGGCAGGGGGAGTGGGGGGTGGGAGAGACCCAAGCAGCCTCACTGGGGGCGGGGCTTCCTGGCTGCCCAGGGGCCAGACAGGCCCTGCGGGGGGGGGGGGGGGGCGCCGGGGGGGGGGCGCCCCCCAGCCTCGGCCCTGGCCCCAGCTCAGGGACCCTCCGCCGGGCCGGGCGTTGACGCGCTGCCTCCGGCCCAGGACGGGGACAAGTTCTGGCGGATGCCCGAGTGCTACATCCGCGGCAGCACCATCAAGTACCTGCGCATCCCGGACGAGATCATCGACATGGTCAAGGAGGAGGTGGTGGCCAAGGGCCGCGGGCGCGGGGGCCTGCAGCAGCAGAAACAGCAGAAGGGCCGCGGCCTGGGCGGCGCCGGGCGAGGTGCGGGCCGGGCTGGGCGGGGCCGGGGGAGGTGCGGGCGGGGGGGGGGGAGCGGTGCGCCCCTAGGCCCTCAAGCCCTGGTCCTGGCCAGTGGCGGAGCCCCTGTCCTCCCTGGGCCCTTGTCCCGGCCCCTGCCGCACAGCTGGGGAAGCTGAGGCCAAGCCGCCTCTGTCCGTCCCCGCAGGTGTGTTTGGCGGCCGGGGCCGAGGCGGGATCCCAGGCACCGGCCGAGGCCAGCCAGAGAAGAAGCCGGGCCGGCAGGCGGGCAAGCAGTGAGCCGCGCCCCCCGAGACCGAAGCCCCGCCCCGCCGCGGGACCCTCTCCTTCCGGCCGGGCCGCCTCGCCCCCCCCCAGTGTGGACACCTGTGTGGTGGTGTTGGTTTTGTGAAGCCCCCGCCCCGAGGCTGGCCCTGCTCCGTGGATAGCGCGTGCCTGGCCTGCACCTGCTGGCATGGCCCAGGGCCGGCCCCTCCCGCACGGCGACGGGCCCGCGGGGGCCATAGTGTCGCCTTCCAGACGGAGCGGACGGGGCCGGCCCATGCGCCTTTGCTTCCATTTCTCTGTGTTCTGAAAATAAAGCCCAGTCCAGCCTCAAGGCCCCTCGGCTCGCGTCCGCCCTGCAGCCCTTGGGCCCCAGGAGACCACATCTGGGGGCCCCGGCCCGGCCTGGGGGCTCCACGGGGGCTGGGGGGGGTCTCCCGAGCTCCTGGCCCGGTTTGTCCTGCGGCCCCTCCCGTCTTGATAGAGAGTAGGGGAGGGGGCATCCTGGCTGGAGCCACTGTCCCGCCCTCTGCCCCCTCTCCTCTGTTTTCCCACCAGGTGTCACCTTGGTGATCGCCCCCCAACCTCAGGGGGGCAGGGGTTCCGGTCACGGCCGTGGGGGAGGGGACGCAGTGGAGGCCTGGGTCCCCGCTTGGGCGTTCTCCGGTCACGGCTGAGGCCCGTCTGGAGGGGCGACTGCATTGGAGGGACGTAAGTGCAGCCCCCACGGCTTGGGGCTCCCGGCTCTGCGGCCCACAGCTCCGTGGTGGCGGCGTCTTAGGGGCCGGCGCCGTGGCTCAGCGGGTGAAGCTCCGCCTCGACCCCCCAGGACCGCTGGTTCCAGTCCCGGCTGCTCCCAGCTAACGCACCTGCCACCCTCGCGCGAGCCCCTGATGGAGCGCCTGGCTCCTGGGCGGTGCAGCCGCCTGGGGAGTGGCCCAGCGGATGGAAGGCCTCTCTCCCTCCCTGCCCCCCACTTTGTGGTTTTGTAGCCTGCTACCCCAGGAGTGGGGAGACGCTGATCCGGCCCCCCCTGGTCCCTACAGCTGCCTGAACTCCGCTGGTGACAAAAGCGAAGGGTGGAGATGGCGCTGGGGGTCTGGGTGGGAGTGGGGGCCCAGGAAGCCTCTCCCTGCACATGGGTGCGCGAGGCGGCCGTGGCCCCCGCCTTGCAGCCTGGACCGGCCCACCCCGCCCCCTGGGCCAAGCACGCGCGCCCCTGCCTCTAGGGCGCGAGTCCGCGAAGGCAGGGGCAGAGGGTCTCGGAGGAGGGGGCGGGGCTCAGGGAGGCCTCGCTGGGCTGGGGGTGGGGCCCCTTCCTCCCTTCCCCTTCCCAGGACGCCCACAGTCGGGGGCCGGGGACGTCTTGGAGGGGTTCCCAGGGCCCGCGCCTGCGTCATCTCGGCTCCCAGCCCAGTGACGCGAGCCACGCGGCCCCCTCGCGCGCCCCGGTCGCCTACGCCGCGGTGGCTCGGGCGCGGCAGCCTTCCTGAGCCCCGTGCGGGGACGGCCCCTGGCTTCAGCCGCCTTCCAAGAAGCCCCCTCCCCCTGCGCAAGAAGAGAAACCAAAAGCGCGGGCGAGGCCCTGACACGCGGGGACTAACAGCTCCCAGCCGCCCGCAAGCCTGCGCCCACGGCGCCCGCCCGGGCTGAAGGGGCTTCCCGCCCGCCCCCGGGGATGTGACGCAGCCCCCAGGCCGCAGCCAGAGCAGGACGCCCCCCCTCCCGCCGCCGCCGCTGACTCCGCCTCTCCTGGGGCCGGGGCCAGGGACGCCGAGGCCGGGCTGGCCTTGAGCAGGGGGCCCCAGCGGCAGCAGGGGGGAAGCACCGGTCGCCCGACCCCCGCCCGGCATCGTGGCTGCCCCACACGCGGCTCCGCCCCCTGCCACCTCCCTCCCCACCGCCCTCAGTGTGTGTGCCAGGACGCGTCCCCTGCCGCCCCTCCGTGAGCAAGGCGGACGCGTGAACGCCACAGGGGGACCCAGGGGCGGGCTCGCGGCGAGGCGCAGCGATGGCCGGGGACGGAGGGTGCCGTCCGAGCCGCGCCGGGGAGGGGAGGGGAGGCGGCTCTCGGGGGAGGCGCGACTTGTGCAAAGGCCCGGTGCCCAGCGCACACCGGAACAAAGGGACGGGGAGGGGGAGGGGTGCATCGCTGGGTAAAACGGGAGCCGCAGCGGGTTCTGGAACTGTCGGGGGCACAGGGGATGTCCCCGGGGCCGCGAGCTGCTGTGGCCGCCCCCTGGGGGAGGACCAGCGTCTGCCTTGGCTGTTGGCGTCCTGAGTCTCACAGGAGACCGAGGGCCACGGCTGAGACCCTCGCCCCTAAGCTGCTCCCTAAACCTGGCGCCTCCCAGGGGTCTCCTCATCACCGAGTGTGCTCCCAAACCCGCTCACGGCCCCAGCACAGAGAGGCTGAGCCAGCAGCCCCAGGTCACACAGCAAACAGCAAAGGACCCGCGCCTGCCGCCCCATGCACCTGACACCGGCACCTCCTCACTCAGCCCTGCCCGGCCCAGAACTGACTGCGCCCCGGGGCCACGCGGCATCCGCTCCTGCTTGGAGGTGCCGGAGAAGGAAAGCCGGGGTGTGCCTCAGTTTCCCCCACTGCTCAGCGGGAACAGCGGCAGCCCCTTTGGGAGGGTGCCAGGAACCTCTCAGGGCCGGCCTGCTATACAGCAGGCGCCCACTCATTGCAGGAGGACACTGGGGCCTCATCCACACACCGGCGGCGTGTCCAGAGCCTCACCGAGGGCGCTTTGCGTCTTTTCCAGCTGTGGGGGGTCCACGCGACCGGCAGGACCCCCGGCCCCAACCCCGGCATGGACGGCAGCCAGACCACTGGCCCGGGGCCACCGCGCACTGACCTCGGGGGCCCTGGAGCCCGCCCCTCCCTCCCGGGCCGGCTCTGCGGCTGCCCAGCGGTGACTCACCCGGCCCGCCTCAGCTGGAACCAGGCACCGAGTACTGACCCAGCGCGGGCCGGGAGTGGCCGTGGAAATATTTCAGGGCTGCCCTCAGTGCCTAAAAATACTCGTCCTCCTCCTCCTCCCCCTCCCCGCACCCGGGGGCCGCACCCCCTTCCAGTTCCCAGAGTCCAACGGTGCGGGGTGCGGTCGGCTGCCCCCCACACCCCTGAAAGCTTTGGCGGCTGGGGCTCCCTGCATCGTCTGGGCTCGGCGGTGGCTGGGGCAGGCCCCTGGGACAGACGCCCGCCTTGCTCAGAGCCCTTGAACTTGGAGCTCAGAGTCTCCTCCTTCCCTGGGGAGGGCCGCGGAATGTCCCCAGCTCCCAGGCACCAAATGTCTCCACTCGGACTCCTGGACGCCCCCACCCCCCGGGGGGGGGGCTCCCTGACCTTCCTGGAGACTGGGGGAGGGGAAGGGAGCAGATTGGGGCTGGGATTCAACCCACGGGTGTGGGAGGCAGCTACGGGGGGAGAGCAGGTGCAAAGGCCCTGGGGTGGGCGTGGGGGTGTTAGCAATGCAGCAGGCGGCCACTGAGCAAAGTGAGGGAGAGGGCACTGGGCATGGGCTGGCATGGGGCAGAGAGAGAGAGAGAGGTCTTCCATCCGCTGGTTCACTCCCCAGATGGCCGCAAGGGCCGGAGCTGTGCTGATCCGAGGCCAGGAGCCAGGAGCTCCATCCGGGTCTCCCCCGCGGGTGCAGGTGTCTAAGGACTCGGGCCACCTTCCGCTGCTCCTGGAGAGCGGAGACTTGAACCCTGGCCATCTGATGCGGGCTGCGGGTGACCACTGCTAAGCCCACGGCCTCCCGCACCCCCGCCTGGGCATTTGCTATCCGTGGAGTCCACACTGCGTGGCCTGTGTGTGCAGTGTCAGGGTTTCGGGGTTCAGCCACGCAGTAGCAGGGGTCACCTCCGCCGTGTGACAGACCCCAGACCCACTCTTCTGCCAAAGGGGCCCTGGGGCTGTCTGTAAGAAAAGATATGTTCGCGTGCAACAGGTGCCGTTACAGGCTTGGGCCCCAGCCCAGCCCAGGCCCCGCAGGCAGGCCCCAGCGCTGTGCCCGTGCGCCCATTTCCCAGCTGGGAGACGCGAGGGCACAGCCGGCAGGCAGGAGGTGAAGGCCATGGGGATGTGCAAAGGCCCCGGGGTGGGCACGCGTCGGGGCACTGGAGGGAGAGCTGGGGCAGCTGACGGCCCCTGTGAGACAAAGCCAGGGAGAGACTGAGGGACCCCGAAGTGGGTCGCCCCCAGCGCATCCCAGCCCCCTGCGTGCACTCCTGTGCCCGGAACCATGGCAGCCGGCGCCCCCGAAATGCTGGGCGGATGATGGACAGGTGGGGGTGGGGGAGTGGGCACTGCCTGGCGCTCCTCCCCCCGGGGGGGGGCGGAGGCTGCAGGTGGGCGAGCACCCACCCGCAGGGGGGCCAGTCGGGTACCAGATGCGGCCTCTGCGGCTGAGTCAGCGTCGCCATGGCAACCCGGGCCTCCGGATGCGCTCCGGGCACAGCCCCCGCGTCACCGCTGCCTCCTCCCAGGGGGCAGGGGCACAGCTATTTTTAGCCAGGTGTGGGGGGCCACCCTCAGGGACCACAGTGCCCACTCCGCGTCTTAGGATGGGAGGGGGTGGAACGCGGTGGAGCAGCAGGTGCCCAGCAGAGCCAGGCAGGGTGCAAGGGAGCCCCGGGGGAGGGGGCACTCACAGCAGGACAGGGGTCCTGGGACCCTGGGCACCCCCAGGCACTGTGTACTGACCCAGCTGCCCCGGGACCCCCTCCCTTCTCACCCCACTCAGGCCTCCCCCCCCAGGCTCCTGCCTTCCTGCCCCAGGGCCTTTGCACTGCCATTCTCGCTTTTGCTGCGGGACTTTCCTGCGCTCTCTGAACTCCCATGGTGCCCCGCAGCCCCCCATGCTGTGATCGCCCCGGTCTGCGTGGTCTGATCTCACATGACCCAGTGTAGGGACCGACGCGGCGGCTCCCGGGGGACCCCCGTGTTCCTGCCCACCAGCCTGCTCCAGCCCCAGGCCACCTGGCCTCTCCCACGCCTTCCTCCTAGTTCCCGCCAGGTCACTAACTCCCCGGGGATTTTCTTTAGCCCAGCCCGGCCCGGCCCAGAACCTGGGGTCAGCGGGAGCCCGGCCTGGCCTAGGGTGGGGGTGGGGCGGGACCGGACTCCTCCGGGGACCCTGGTGGGGAAGGGGTTAACCTGCGCCCCGTCCCCTTCCCCCAGTCCTGCATTTAATTAAGGGCCCGGCGGGTGGGGGCGGGGGACGCGGGGCCCGCAGCGGGGGAGGGGAGCCAGCCTGGGGTTCGCGCCCTGCGCCCGCCAGCGGCCCCCGTTGCGGCCCCCGCCTGGCGGGCTTGGAGTCCCCGCCCCTCCCCCAGGGGCCGGCCGGGGGCGACTGGGTGGGGGCCCGAGGGAGCGAACCCACGCCACGCCCTCCGCCCGCCCAACTGGGCGCCCGGGAAGCTGCCCCGGGAGGATGGGACACCCCCGCCCCCACGGCGAGGCCGCGCGCGCCCCGGCCGTCCGCGTCTACGCAGCCCCGCCTGGCCCTGACGTCGGCGCTGACGCCACCCGGGCCCCGAGTCCGGCCGGGCGCGCGCGGGTTAACCCCTTCGCGGCCGCGGGGTGCGCGGCGCCCTGCTCCGCTCCCCGGGACCCTCGCCGCCGCCAGGGCTGGGGTGGGGGTGGGGCCCGCGCGTGGGCAGCGACCCCCGCCCGCAATGCGCGTCCCGCCCCGCGGCGAGCTCGGCCCCCTCCGGCCTGGCCGCGACCCCCGTGGGGCTGGGCGCGCTCGCGGGGGTGGGGGTTCCCTCCCTCCGCCCCCGCGGGTCGCCGAGAGGCGAAGACCCCGAGCCCCGCCCTGCGCCGGGGGAAGTGAGACCGGGCCCTCCCCCGCATTCCTGCCACTTCCTCTCGCGCCCGCGTCGGGGAGGGGGAAGGGCGGCGGGCGTGGGAGTGGGGGACCCGGTCTGGGGCCGAGGCCGGGGGATCGGCCCGGGTCCCCCCCGGGGGGGGGCGCCACGCCTGCCCCTCCCTGCGATCCCCTGTTGCGTCACCCACGCGGACCCTGGCCGCCCCACCCGCTGCCCCGCGCCCCGGGACGGCCGCCTGCCTCGCTCCCGGCCCACCCACTCCCGCGGGGCCCCAGCGCCCGCGCGCAGGCGCACACCCCGAGAAGTCCCCACCCCCAGCCCCCCTGGCTCCGGGTTCGCGTCCCCTGCGCAGCCCGCCGTGGCCGTGGCCAGCCGCCTGGATTCGACGTCCGTCTGAAGGCGCGAGTTGCTGGCGCGCTCAGTTTACCCGCCTGTGAAACGGGCACAGGAATGATGTCCGCAGACCCTGGCTTCGCCGGCGCGCGCAGGGGCCCTGGAGACTGTGGGTGGCGGCAGCCCCAGGCCTGAGGCAGGGGAGGGACCCGGAATCCCCCCAGAGAAGAAGGGGGGTTCCTCTCCTCCTGCCCCCCCCCCCGCAGATTTGCCCCCAGCGCTGGGGTTCAGCGGCTGTGCAGGGACTCCCGGGGAAGCCAGGGGCAGCCGTTGCCCTCTTGCCTTTTATTTATTTATTTTTTTTGACAGGCCGAGTGGACAGTGAGAGAGAGAGACAGAGAGAAAGGTCTTCCTTTGCCGTTGGTTCACCCTCCAATGGCCGCCATGGCCAGCGAGCTGCGGCCGGCGCACCGCGCTGATCCTATGGCAGGAGCCAGGTGCTTCTCCTGGTCTCCCATGGGGTGCAGGGCCCAAGCACTTGGGCCATCCTCCACTGCACTCCCGGGCCACAGCAGAGAGCTGGCCTGGAAGAGGGGTAACCGGGACAGAATCTGGCGCCCCGACCGGGACTAGAACCCGGTGTGCCGGCGCCGCAGGTGGAGGATTAGCCTAGTGAGCCGCGGCGCCGGCCGCCTTTTTTTAAAAAGTTTTATTTTGAGAGAGAGAAAGAGGGAGAGGTCCTCCATCCGCTGGGTCACTCCCCAAATGGCCGCAGCGGCCAGGGCTGGGCCGGGCCGAAGCCAGGAGCTCCATCCGGGTCTCCCACACAGGTGCAGGGGCCCCAGGGCTCGGCCATCGCTGCTGCTTTCCCAGGCCACAGCAGGGAGCGGGACCGGAAGTGGAGCGGCCGGGACTCGAACCTGCGTCCCCGGAAGCCGCTGCGGCACAGCGCGGCCCCTGTACGGGGTCAGTCGGCATCAGGTTCTCCGGGTCCGTCCGCGCGGTAGCAGGGGTCGGGCCTCAGCCCTTGTCCTGTCCGGTGGCCGCGTCTGGCCCTGGGGCCCCCTCCCCCCCCCTTCCTGTGGCTCCATCCACGTCCCCAACATGGGCAGCAGGGTGGTGGTGGGGGGAACCTGAGCGGTCAAGGTCATGGTCAGGGCTGCCTCCCACGGCGCGCATGCGCAGGGAGCCGGCTCAGAAAGCCAGGACTTGGGGACTCGGACTGGGTACTGGCTGGGCTGGGAGATGCCTGGGGGTGGCCCGAGCTGCAGCCGCTCCGGGCCCAGCGCGCAGCAGGTGCCCAGCTGAGCCTGGGGGGATGGAGCCACAGGAACAGGAACAGTCTCTCATCCCCGCGCCGTCCTTTGTCAGTCAACAAACACTGGAGTGAACCAGGGACTCCACGACCTGGAGCTGGGGACAGGGGCCGGGGCTGGGGGCGGGGGAACCAATCGACAAGAAGGGGGGGGCTCTGTCTCTAAGACGCGGCCTGCCAGGTCCAATCTCGGGGGGAGAGGAGGGTCCACGTGTGCCTCAGTTTCCCTATTTGCCAAAGGAGGCTGAGGCCGGAGGGAGCCGGCGCCGGCTCCCGAGGGCGAGGCTGGGAAGACACCTGGGCACGCGGCTGGGATGGCAGCCCCCCCAGGGGGCCGGGGCGGAAGCAGGGCCCAGAGGAGGGGAGGGGGAGGGGCTGCGGCCCCTGAAACCTGATCCGCAGGAATGCGCGAGGCCCCCACCTGGGCCCTGGCGGGTGGGGGTGGGGCAGTCCGTGCCCGCCCGCCCCGCCCCCCGGAGGCCCCTCCGCCTGCCCCCCCCCCCACTGCCTGGTAAAGGCTTTCTTTCCCGGGGGGCCGC